TCGACATGGACTCGACTGTCTTTGGTCTCGGACTCGACTGTCTTTAGTCTCGGTCTCGACTCGGACTCGACTGTCTTTGGTCTCGGACTCGACTCGGACTCGACTGTCTTTGGTCTCGGTCTCGACATGGACTCGACTGTCTTTGGTCTCGGACTCGACTCGGACTCGACTGTCTTTAGTCTCGGTCTCGACTTGGACTCAATTGTCTTTGGTCTCGACTTGGACTCGATTGTCTTTGGTCTCGGTCTAGACTTGGTCTCGGTCTCGACTTGGACTCGACTGTCTTTGGTCTCGGTCTTGACTTGGACTCGACTGTCTTTGGTCTCGGACTCGACTGTCTTTGGTCTCGGACTCGACTTGGACTCGACTGTCTTTGGTCTCTGTCTCGACATGGACTCGACTGTCTTTGGTCTCGGACTCGACTGTCTTTGGTCTCGGACTCGACTCGGACTCGACTGTCTTTGGTCTCGGACTCGACTTGGACTCGACTGTCTTTGGTCTCGGACTCGACTCGGACTCGACTGTCTTTGGTCTCGGATTCGACTGTCTTTGGTCTCGGACTCGACTTGGACTCGACTGTCTTTGGTCTCGGTCTCGACATGGACTCGACTGTCTTTGGTCTCGGACTCGGACTCGACTGTCTTTGGTCTCGGACTCGACTGTCTTTGGTCTCGGACTCGACTTGGACTCGACTGTCTTTGGTCTCGGACTCGACTGTCTTTGGTCTCGGACTCGACTGTCTTTGGTCTCGGACTCGACTTGGACTCGACTGTCTTTGGTCTCGGTCTCGACATGGACTCGATTGTCTTTGGTCTCGGACTCGACTGTCTTTGGTCTCGGACTCGACTGTCTTTGGTCTCGGACTCGACTTGGACTCGACTGTCTTTGGTCTCGGACTCGACTGTCTTTGGTCTCGGACTCGACTGTCTTTGGTCTCGGACTCGACTTGGACTCGACTGTCTTTGGTCTCTGTCTCGACATGGACTCGACTGTCTTTGGTCTCGGACTCGACTGTCTTTGGTCTCGGACTCGACTCGGACTCGACTGTCTTTGGTCTCGGACTCGACTGTCTTTGGTCTCGGACTCGACTGTCTTTGGTCTCGGACTCGACTTGGACTCGACTGTCTTTGGTCTCTGTCTCGACATGGACTCGACTGTCTTTGGTCTCGGACTCGACTGTCTTTGGTCTCGGACTCGACTCGGACTCGACTGTCTTTGGTCTCGGACTCGACTTGGACTCGACTGTCTTTGGTCTCGGACTCGACTCGGACTCGACTGTCTTTGGTCTCGGATTCGACTGTCTTTGGTCTCGGACTCGACTTGGACTCGACTGTCTTTGGTCTCGGTCTCGACATGGACTCGACTGTCTTTGGTCTCGGACTCGACTCGGACTCGACTGTCTTTGGTCTCGGACTCGACTGTCTTTGGTCTCGGACTCGACTTGGACTCGACTGTCTTTGGTCTCGGACTCGACTGTCTTTGGTCTCGGACTCGACTGTCTTTGGTCTCGGACTCGACTTGGACTCGACTGTCTTTGGTCTCGGTCTCGACATGGACTCGATTGTCTTTGGTCTCGGACTCGACTGTCTTTGGTCTCGGACTCGACTGTCTTTGGTCTCGGACTCGACTTGGACTCGACTGTCTTTGGTCTCGGACTCGACTGTCTTTGGTCTCGGACTCGACTGTCTTTGGTCTCGGACTCGACTTGGACTCGACTGTCTTTGGTCTCTGTCTCGACATGGACTCGACTGTCTTTGGTCTCGGACTCGACTGTCTTTGGTCTCGGACTCGACTCGGACTCGACTGTCTTTGGTCTCGGACTCGACTGTCTTTGGTCTCGGACTCGACTGTCTTTGGTCTCGGACTCGACTTGGACTCGACTGTCTTTGGTCTCTGTCTCGACATGGACTCGACTGTCTTTGGTCTCGGACTCGACTGTCTTTGGTCTCGGACTCGACTCGGACTCGACTGTCTTTGGTCTCGGACTCGACTTGGACTCGACTGTCTTTGGTCTCGGACTCGACTCGGACTCGACTGTCTTTGGTCTCGGATTCGACTGTCTTTGGTCTCGGACTCGACTTGGACTCGACTGTCTTTGGTCTCGGTCTCGACATGGACTCGACTGTCTTTGGTCTCGGACTCGACTCGGACTCGACTGTCTTTGGTCTCGGACTCGACTGTCTTTGGTCTCGGACTCGACTTGGACTCGACTGTCTTTGGTCTCGGACTCGACTGTCTTTGGTCTCGGACTCGACTGTCTTTGGTCTCGGACTCGACTTGGACTCGACTGTCTTTGGTCTCGGTCTCGACATGGACTCGATTGTCTTTGGTCTCGGACTCGACTGTCTTTGGTCTCGGACTCGACTGTCTTTGGTCTCGGACTCGACTTGGACTCGACTGTCTTTGGTCTCGGACTCGACTGTCTTTGGTCTCGGACTCGACTGTCTTTGGTCTCGGACTCGACTTGGACTCGACTGTCTTTGGTCTCTGTCTCGACATGGACTCGACTGTCTTTGGTCTCGGACTCGACTGTCTTTGGTCTCGGACTCGACTCGGACTCGACTGTCTTTGGTCTCGGACTCGACTGTCTTTGGTCTCGGACTCGACTGTCTTTGGTCTCGGACTCGACTTGGACTCGACTGTCTTTGGTCTCTGTCTCGACATGGACTCGACTGTCTTTGGTCTCGGACTCGACTGTCTTTGGTCTCGGACTCGACTTGGACTCGACTGTCTTTGGTCTCGGACTCGACTCGGACTCGACTGTCTTTGGTCTCGGATTCGACTGTCTTTGGTCTCGGACTCGACTTGGACTCGACTGTCTTTGGTCTCGGTCTCGACATGGACTCGACTGTCTTTGGTCTCGGACTCGACTCGGACTCGACTGTCTTTGGTCTCGGACTCGACTGTCTTTGGTCTCGGACTCGACTTGGACTCGACTGTCTTTGGTCTCGGACTCGACTGTCTTTGGTCTCGGACTCGACTTGGACTCGACTGTCTTTGGTCTCGGTCTCGACATGGACTCGATTGTCTTTGGTCTCGGACTCGACTCGGACTCGACTGTCTTTGGTCTCGGACTCGACTGTCTTTGGTCTCGGACTCGACTGTCTTTGGTCTCGGACTCGACTTGGACTCGACTGTCTTTGGTCTCGGTCTCGACATGGACTCGACTGTCTTTGGTCTCGGACTCAACTCGGACTCAACTGTCTTTGGTCTCGGACTCGACTGTCTTTGGTCTCGGTCTCGACATGGACTCGACTGTCTTTGGTCTCGGACTCGACTTGGACTCAACTGTCTTTGGTCTCGGTCTCGACATGGACTCGACTGTCTTTGGTCTCGGACTCGACTCGGACTCGACTGTCTTTGGTCTCGGACTCGACTCGGACTCAACTGTCTTTGGTCTCGGTCTCGACATGGACTCGACTGTCTTTGGTCTCGGACTCGACTCGGACTCGACTGTCTTTGGTCTCAGACTCGACTGTCTTTGGTCTCGGTCTCGACTTGGACTCGACTGTCTTTGGTCTCTGACTCGACTGTCTTTGGTCTCGGATTCGACTCTCTTTGGTCTCGGACTCGGACTCGACTGTCTTTGGTCTCGGTCTCGACATGGACTCGACTGTCTTTGGTCTCGGTCTCGACATGGACTCGACTGTCTTTGGTCTCGGACTCGACTCGGACTCGACTGTCTTTGGTCTCGGTCTCGACATGGACTCGACTGTCTTTGGTCTCGGACTCGACTCGGACTCGACTGTCTTTGGTCTCAGACTCGACTGTCTTTGGTCTCGGTCTCGACTTGGACTCGACTGTCTTTGGTCTCTGACTCGACTGTCTTTGGTCTCGGATTCGACTGTCTTTGGTCTCGGACTCGACTTGGACTCGACTGTCTTTGGTCTCGGTCTCGACATGGACTCGACTGTCTTTGGTCTCGGGCTCGACATGGACTCGACTGTCTTTGGTCTCGGACTCGACTCGAACTCGACTGTCTTTGGTTTCAGACTCGACTGTCTTTGGTCTCGGACTCGACTCGGACTCGACTGTCTTTGGTCTCGGATTCGACTGTCTTTGGTCTCGGACTCGACCCTCTATGGTCTCGGTCTTGAGTGAGCTGGTCTCAACTACAACACTGCAAAATGGATGAAAAATAATTTTTTTGTATGAAACAAATTATCTGCGAAATCAGTTCCAAGTAAACTGTGCTGCGGATATTCTGTATCATAGCAACGAAACTTCTCAACGGAAAAAGCGCTGCGCTGCCAAAACACTCTCAAGCGCCCAAAGCACGGCGTCTTCAGCAGAGCGTCTAGCATTTTCAGCTGGCTAAAAACGCATTGTTGGACACACGGCCCTAGGGTCGCATGTGCCGATTAAATGCTGCAGGTCTTTCTCCCAACTGTTTGGCATTGTGTGAACATGAATCAATTACTTGAGCTCTGTAAGTCAAGATGTAATATCACCTGAGCCTTGAGCTGTAAAAGATTCATTTCTGTTCTCCACTCAACCTGGAAAATCTCTAGTACCACATTTCGAGGTTTTGTCATTCTGTTCAGAGAAAATTAAAATGAGTCTAGTCAACCTAAAGGGCTCTTAAAATTCCCGTCCATGTGATGCTTAAGTTTCGCAGAAATAGAGTTAAAATGATCCCATGTCGGGCGTCACAGTTGACTGCATGCATTATTTGTGATCAAGAGGAAGCAGTAAATTCACATTAGGTTAGAAGAAATAAATTTCGATTGGACTTGTATTCAATAGCACTGCATCTGGTGACATAACGTGTTTGGACGCCACACTAGTCTGAGATCCCGAGGACGTTCTCGAAATGAAAAATGACTTGCTCTTCTAGCCCTGGGGCTTTTCAGATTGCATGTCAATACTGTTTACTATACTCTGCCTGAAGGACTGAATAGATGCTCATGTAAACAATACCTTTATCTTTCTCCTCTAGGAGAGGAATTGCTTTTATTTCCAGCCCTATTCCCTATCTGACGTGTCCTCTTTTGCTTTAGAGGTGATCAGGCAGAGGTATGCGGACCTGCCAGGAGAGCTGCTGATCGTGGATCTGGAGAAAGACCGGAACGGCTTGGGCCTCAGCCTGGCCGGGAACAGAGATCGTTCCTGTATGAGCATCTTTGTGGTGGGGATCAGCACTGGAGGGCCGGCCAGCCACGACGGACGCATCAAAGTGGGCGACGAGCTGTTAGAGGTGAAACGCACATACATACTCTTAATTTGATCAGAAATTACATTACCAATTTATATATACGTATATTTAATATTAATCAATTCATTAATATTAAATTATTATTTTTTAATTTAATAACATGAATAAATTGTTGTTCTAAAGGTAATATATAATTGAATATACAATTATTAGTTCTTTAATATTATTTATAATTAGTATTAATAAGTGACATGTAATAATTATCTGTATTAAAATTTAAAAATATATTAAAACAAACTGTCCCTATGAATTTTTTAAACAAAGTGACTCTAACCGACTGCCCGGTGAGGAATTATGGGTCAGGGCTCAGGATGAAGAAGCTATCTATCCCTCTCTCTTTCATTTTTTTTTTCTTTCTCTACGTAATAGCCTTTTCCTGTTGAGCCCCTTGTAATCCAAGGGGAAAATGGTGGTTCCTGTCAATTTCTTTCTCATTCTGGTTTAATATTGAATGAAGCATGGGTCGTCTGGGTCATTCTCATACAGGCAAAATCACTTTGAAACTTGTGCAAACGAGAAGTGCAAGGTTTTGCCTCATGGCTGGATGAATTTCAAATAAAGCCACCTGCCCTCAGTTTCACTATCTCGGTCTGCTCTTGCTGATCACTTTCTCTGCCGCCGCCTCCTCTGGCTCGCTTTATCTCTCTCAGCTCCTTCCAACCCCAGAATCTCACCACAAGACAATTCATTGCAGAACTTGAAACAATGTACAAGGCTGACAACATCAGTTCACATTTGTAATGGTTTTATTTATGTTTAAATTAGAATTGAATTGGCCACGCCCCACAGGAAGTTGAATTTGGAATTTAACGGACTGGATTTAAATTTGAAATTGTGCATTTTTGTAACTCAAAAAAAAATATTGATAACTATATTAATTTTGAAAAATAAATTAAATCCAAACTTATGCAGGTGATTAATAATAGCTAATATTTCTGGAAATAGTCTGCATGTTTTGTGTATTATAATATTGTAATGGGTAATTCATATTTAAAGGTGCATTGTGTAATATTTAGGAGGATTTGTTGATAGAAATGCAATATCATATACATAACTACTGTATGTTTGCAGTTTTTATCTACATACATCGTGGGTCTCTTTACATTGCAATGCGCCACCATGTTTCTACAGTAGCCCTAAACGGACAAACGCGTTTCATTCATTATGTTCTTCATGCAAAGAAGCTAGCCAAAGTCAGCGAATAAAAAAAAACTGACACAATGATGAATAAGTAACAATAATATTCGCAATTACATATCGCTTTACTGAATAATTAAGTAAACCTCATTTCTTAAGAAACCTCATTGCTTTACTGGCTACTCTCTGCTGTCTCAGACGACGACGTCTTTTCCTGTCGGCCGCCATAACTTCTGTTGGTTGCAATTTGCCACATCACCACTAGATGATGCTAAGAATTACACAGTGCACCTTTAAGAAGCGAATATATCATTAAAATCTACAATTTCAGTTGGCAATCAAATGACTCTGAGATCTGTTTGCTTCTTCAAACTACATTCAATTTAGTATCATTGAGATAATAAAATATTTATTAACATTTTAAGTGAGTTTTTTTATATTTTATATTTTTTTATTTCAGTTAAAGGATCAGTCATTTTGTTATACGCGTATTTTTATAAATTTTTAGTTTGGTTTTATTTATTTTAGTATATCAAGTTTAACTAAAAAAGGATAAATGTTGCTTTTAACAACAACTTATTTACTATTAATTATGCATAATTACAAGTAACTAACCCTAACCATAACTCTATGGTAAGTACAAGTAGTTAATTAAAATACTCAGTACTTATTTGAGTAAATAAAATGTAACTACGTCACCTTAAAATGAAGTGTAACAAAATGTTTTTTTCTTTGTTTTAGTTTCAGTTAACTATAATAACTCTAATTCAGAAAGCCATTCACAATTCATTTCTGAATTAACTCGGCTGGTCCAGACCCGGCTGTGTCCCACAATACATTCCCCAATCTTTTTCCCGTCCAGATGGCATTTTGGTTTCCACATTAGTTTCCTCCTCGGAATTACCTATCGATTTAGCAATTTGGTCGACACGTATGAATGCGGCATTTTGCTGTGGAATTTGATGCTCGGCACACCCGAGGCTCAGAGCCGTTACTCGCTCACCTTTGTAATATCTATCTCCATTAGACGTGAAGGCGCTGTGATATTAGTCACGATCCACTAGTGCTCCAGCTAATGATTCTGTCACAGGTGATTGGAGACACAAGTCAACCGGTCTCAAATACGTGTTCACAAACCCAGATACGGTTAGTGGTAACCAGTTCGCAGTGTGTCCTGTTGAACTTACAAATCTTGCAAAGGAAACTCTCATTAAAACGTTCCATCACTGTGAAAAAAATCAATAAGTTATGACAACATATATTTTTATATTGCTTTAACTCATTTTTCGTATACGTTTTTAGTGCGTTCAATTAAGTTGAAATGACTTAAACATCCAAGTTGATTGTACTTAGAAAATTTAAAACGGTAAAAAAAATTTGTGATGTGGTTCTAGCGCATGACTTTATTTGGAAGAAAATAAGTATGTGTACCATTTCGATTTACTTAGTTTACTGTATATAAGTTCGAACTTACAAACATTGCTAAAGAAAATCTTGCTAAAGAAGAAACAAAGTACCATGGTATTACCACAGGATTTTTAGGTATGTCGTTTAATAGTAATCCCATCACATACGTTTTACCTCCGTTTCCGTGAACCCTTTCAATTTACGTAGATTACGGTGTATAAATTGGTCATGAAATATGATAAACCTACAACCCTACTGTTTTTTTTTTTCATTGACAAATCATGGTTTTGTCTAATTTGTTGTGCTTCCCTCAGATAAACAGCCAGGTGTTGTACGGCAGGAGCCACCAGAACGCATCAGCCATAATAAAAAGCGCCGCGTCAAAGGTGAAACTCGTCCTGGTCAGGTAAGAAACCCTCAGAGACGACCCTCAGCCTGCTGTTTTTTCACACTACCATCTGTTCATTTGCTAAAATGACTCATTTCAGCTTTGGTATACAATTTTTAACTCATTAAAAATAATGAGATTATGAAATTATTACAATGTGTTTGTGAAATGTGGGATTTATAATATTGTAATCAGTGACTAATTCCTTGAAAGCTCTAAAATGTATAACAATTTAATTATTATTTTTATTCTTGTTTTGTTTGATTAAGCTTGTTTTGGTCCTTGATTTGGTTTTTAATTTTTGTTTTGTTCATTTAGTTAGGTTTGGTCATTTTGGTTTTCGTTTTGTTTGTTTTAGTTTAGTTTACTTGTTTATTTTGGTTTGGTTTAGTTTAGTTTGGTCGTTTTGTAAGAGATACATTTGCATAAGATTATTTTATTTTATATTATTTATTTTTTAATAGCTGAGAATATGTAATTATATCAGATTATATCTGTCTCGTCACTTCCTAATACCGAATCAAACGAATGCTTGTTTCTGTGTAAACCTTACAAGAGCCTTACATGTGACATTGGTGCAGCTTATGTGATACTTGATGGCATTTCTGCAGACATGTCATACCATCCAGAGACTGAGAAATGATATGGTGTTATAGACTGGAACTGTTATCACTATATAACATTGACAGCACAGAGATGCAATACAGAGTAAAAACAACACAGCCCTTCAGTCCATCATGAACGAAAGCTGATTCTGTCATTACAGGCGTAATCAGAGGCTTATCATCTGTTTCTGTTCATATCTTGTGTTTTCATGAGAGTATTTTTTAGCTTGACCTTTATTTGCCAGATTGTTTTGTCAGGTTTTGCTGATAATGGCTGTGTAATGATGACACTTATATCTCTTCGCTATCTACTGCTAATCATCAGTCAAAGAAATGTGACAGCGCAATTTAAGGCTATCAAAACAAATGTTAAAGTGCCACTGAATATTAATAGATTGGCTTTAATGAATGCATTGCCATCAGTCCAGTGGGTGGGATTTGGGAGGATTTTTTTGTCATTTAGACTATTCTAAAAGCCATTGTAAATGATTTGTATTGGGTCAAAAGTCATTCGTCAACACATGACGGAATGTCGGAGAAAAGCATGTTGCCATGGCAACATAACTGGTCAGTGATAAAGACTTAATACATGTCCACCTGTGATGTGAATGGCTAGTGTCATTGTGGATGGTTACCAAGTTTTTTAGTAAAGGGATTTTGGAACTGAATGAAATCTGGACTAGTTCCCATTATCCTTAGATCAAATTTGGTGTTGTTTGAAAATAATTTAAGATTCGATTGTTTCATAAATTTTGATCATCAGCGACGAACTTACCTTGACAAACGCACAGTAATTGTGTACAGAGACAATAACGCCAAGGTGAACACTAACAGAAGGAGGGATGTAGCAAGCGATATTCATCAATAGGATCTTGAGGAAGAGGCTCAGTGGATTTATAGTGCAACATCTCAATTCATCTGCCCAATCAGTCCTTATCGATCAGAGTGTAGAAAACTGCCAAGAGACATGTGGGAACATGAGAAGTAGAGAGCGAGCAAGACCAATTTTGGCGTCATCGATAGGATTGGATCCATTTTTCTTGGACAAATAAAAAAAATTCTCAATCACAAATAAGATAAAAGTAACACTTAACAATGAGGTTTCATTAGTTAACATGAATTAAGAATGAACAATTCTTCTGCAGCATTTATTGATTTTAGTTAATGTTAATCTCAACATTTAATCATATGTTATTAAATTCAAAAGTTGTATTTAAGTTAGGGCTAATGTACATCCAGCCGGTTGTCTCTCAAAATAAACCCCGACATGGTGATGAGGACCCGATGTGAAGCCAAGTGGATGTACATTATATCCCGCATATTACACGACTTGCCGCCTAATGGACATTTAAGAGATATGGTATAGAGTCATACCACTTGTTGCACAGCATTTCTCCACATAAATAATAATGAAGATAAGAGATCTTCAATCTTAGTCAAACTTCGAATCTTAGTCACAAAATGGCAGCAGTTAAAGAGAGAGTGAGTCCATGATACTGGTTGGCATAATTAAGTAACTGTACACAAAATATTGACTCGACTGAGTTTTAATAATTTATTAGTTTACCAAATGCAAAACTTCCACAAAGAAAACCCAGTCCTAGCAATGTAACCCTGATGAGCCTGTGTTATCTGCTTTGAGAGGTTGTTATCTGGGATTAACGTACCATTTGATGGCGCGATTGACCAATCGGAATCAAGTATTCCACAGAGCTGTGTAATAACATTAGTTAACCTTCAAATGGTCTGTGTTTCCTGTTTACACTTCTGGGCTTCGGGGTCTATACGACCCCAACAATTGATCAATTGTACAAAAAATATACATTTTTAGTCATGCAAATAATATATCATTTTTTATGTTTACTTCTCATCTATTCATTAAGGCTGTGTTTTTGGACATATAAAGTACTTTTGAATCCATATACCACACAATTCCTCAACTACACCATTTGCTTGCAAATGAAATATTATTTTTTTATGATACATTGCATTTATGCTACTAGGCTTCATTTCTGTGTAAAAAAATTCAGATTTATGCCGATTTTTTTTTTTTTTTTTTTTTTTTTTTTTTGACGCATGAAGAAAATATATTTAGTTTTTTTGTTTGTTTGTTTGTTTTTCACATTTCCCATTCATTTCAATGTGGGATCATATTGACCCCGAAGACCAGAAGTGTAAAACATTTGTTTTTTACATACCTTCAGAACAACTGATGCAACCCCAGTGTATATATTTTTTTGTGTGTATAGATAGATAATGTATGAAAAAATCTTACAAAATTTTATTCCACTGAGATGAAGGGAACCTTTTTTTTATTAAGTAATAAAATATAGACCCCATGACCCAATTGAGGGCTAATGCACTGTGAACTAACATGAAAAAATGACTTTTTTATTAACTAATATTAACAAAGAGATTAATATACTGTAACAAATGTATTGCTTTTAACAAATGTGACCTTATTGTGAAGCATTACCATAAAACTAAAATACAGTACCTGTCAAAAGTTTGTCAACATAAAAAAAAAGAAGCCACATGTATTAAAATAGAAATTTTGAGATGTAACAATATTTCACAATATTACTATTTTTACTGTATTTTTGATCAAATAAATGCAGACTTCTTTCAAAAACAAAATATCGTATCGTTTTCAAACTTTTGACAGGTACTGTATATAAAATTGTAAAAAATAAATGTAAAATGATATCTTTTATTTTATGAATATTTTTGTAAATAATTTGTGTGAAACTTAAGATTTTTTCTGTCTGTTGATAGGAATGAAGACGCTCTCAATCAAATGGCTGTCGCTCCTTTTCCTTCCCAGTCTTCCTCATTCTTCTCCAGTGAGGTACAATACATTATAAATAGACACCAGTTAAACATGACTTTGTCTTAGGCTTGAATGGATATATCATGTCTGGAACAGAGTGGATTTTCTTATTTATTTAGATATTCAGTGTCTCCAAAAACTGTAAAGTGTTATAAAATGTTCCTATGACTCGTCATCTCGCATCTTTAGCTTGTTGGATGTCCTTGATCTAAGCAATGGCTAAGATCTAAAACATTTGACATTGTTAGTATCAGTATTTAAAGAGTATCTTCTTCTCGGTAAGTCTGTTTTTTTTCCCATCCACATCAAGCAACAAGTTTTATTATTTAAACTGTTGTTTCAGACAAATCAAAATACACCAGCGGTTCCAGTTGTAACAGAGAAGCCACAGTTACCCGAAAGCCTCCCTCTGAGTCTGAGCATAAACCCACCTGAACCGCTGATAATCAAGGTGAGTCCTCGCCAATCAAACCCTCAATCTTTTGTATAAAGGTCAGAGGCCTTGAATTAACTCTAAACCCTCCTTTCTGAGAGCCTACTCTGCTCTGATTGGTCAGAAGGTCCCATTTTTTTGTGATTGGTCGTAAAATGGGACGTACATTACCATATGTGAATTTCAGCTCTGGAGGTTTGATACAAACAGTAACGATTGCCTAGGTTTTACATTATCGATTTGAGCTTGAGTCCTTGTAGTGGAGTAAAATAAAAGTCTTATATAATGGTTTTATTTCAGTCTGCCATGCTTTTAAGCCAGTGTTTCTGAGTTTTTCGAAACATATGATGCAAGTACGTGGCAACCTATTGCCATCAATATGAAAGCTATAATGACTGTTGACTCAGCTTTTTACAAGTCTACCGGTATCCCATCTCCCTTTGTTTTCAGTCTGAGCTGAAGCAGCTATTGCAGACTCAATGCGGATTTGATCCAGTAAACAAACAGTGGAACCCACCTCGGGGACGCTTGGCTCTAAACAGCAGCTCATTGTCATTTAGCTTAGCTGCCTCTAGCTAACTCTGTCCTAGATGGAGGCAGCGACTGCAGTTTTGCCCTAGTTGAAGCTCTGTGGGGAGCATCTAGGCCTGACGCTTTGTTTTACCTGTTTGCTTGACTCCTCATACAGGATGAACCTAGCGTGGCACCGACTGTGAGCCTCACGCAGAGAGATGAGACGCACAATAGTCTCGGTGATAGAGAGTCATCCTTAAAGGTTAGGAACCGCTTAGATCTCAACCAGATATTCAGAATGGCATACTACCTTACTTTTACTATTTAGGCAAAATGTATAATGTGCTCAGTATTTTTTTTACTATTTTCGTATGCATTATAATCCCAGTTTTGTTTATTTACCTATTTTTTTTAAATGTATAATTTAATAATATATAATTTATTTATCTATCTATCTATCTCATCTATCTATCTATCTATCTATCTATCTATCTATCTATCTATCTATCTATCTATCTGTCTATCTATTTGTCTATCTATCTATCTATTTATCTATATATATCTATCTATCTATCTAATATATCTATGTATGTATGCTATGTGTGTGTGTGTGTGTGTGTGTGTGTGTGTCTATCTATTTGTATATATATATATATATATATATATATGTCCTAAAAATTAACATTTGCCAAGACCCAAATTACACAAATACTAAACTGAACTTTTTTTCACGTCATCTTGCATTCAAGCGGCCAAATTCACACTAAATTAAGTAAAAAAAATGCAGGAATCCTACTAAAAAGTCATTTATGTCTTAAATGAACGTAAACTGTTGAGAAAGTAAATGCATTTGGTCTTAAAGTGTCAGCATCCTAATATTTCTGCTAATGTAAATGCTTTTAATGTTAATCAAACAATAAAGGACAAAGAAAAATTCACTCAATGGTCTTGTCGTAATAACTTTAGTACATTATTAAGGGTTAATTAATATGGACGCTTAATTTATACAGTGAAGACTATGCAGTGTTGCTTTGCTTTCTTTATTACATTTCTGTACCTGAAAACTCTTGTCTGACCTACCTGGAAAAACCTGTACATTTATTAATTAACCACAGTTTATTTCACTTGCATATTTGTTATATTGTATTTAGTTGTGCTATTACTTAAAATTTGATTATTTTTTCTTACTTAATTTCTGACTGTTTACGTGTCTTTTTAATAATGTTTTAAATTCATATTAGTTAGGCTAGTAGTTTTAGCTGTGGTATTGAAATTGTGAATTTCAACTGGTATCTAAAACTTTGGTGTCATAACTGCTTGTTTTTTGCAAAAACAGTTTTGTGGCCAGTACATTTTCACACCGGCCATTAGCAGGTGTGGCAAAAAGTAATTTTAGTCCAGTATGTTATTTTATATATATATATATATATATATATATATATATATATTTTTATGATTTATTTTTTTTATATATATATTATTTTGTTTAAATTTTTAAAAATTTTATTTTGAATGTCAGATTTTCACTTTGGCCTTTAAAACGCCTTTGTATTAAGGGAAAATGGGGGGATGCAAATTAAACACATTTATTTCCAAGATAACAGACAGGTTGAACACGCAACATAGTGAAGTCATTAGAAAAAAAAAATTGCGTACCATTGTTTAAGAAACTTATTGCATTGCTAGTAATGCCTTTCCATTACTCATGAATCAAAAGGTGCCATGAATGTTTCATAATTGTTCGATCAAATGTTGCTTGTGTAGCCTGTTATACTGAGTGATAAAACTAATTAAGGTCCATTAATCATTTCAGAAGCTGAAATCCCCAGAGAAAATATTGGAGTCTTCAAGTGAACAGCCGCCCAAGCCTCATGTAGAGCAGGTGTGTTTGTTTATCTACATGACTTCTGTTTGTTTGACACAAAACTGCATTTGCAACACATTTAACTTTTTTTTATGACTTCTAAAGTTGAACGAGATTCGTACTTCTCTAAACGGGTGCCAAGACATGAAAGCACTGCCCAGACAAAACAAGGCAGCCATGTGGGACACTGTTAGTAAACAGTCTAACCTCTGTGTCTATCTTTCTGTGTTCCTGTCACTGGACCGTCCTCAGATCACCAGTCTTCCAAAAATCCAGAGGAATTCCACCAAGCCCACAGCAGGTTCTCTGGAGGTCACGTCCTTGGCATTATCCGTGCCAGTCTCCGGAACCAGCCCTGACTTTGAGGACTGCAGCAAAGGTGAAACACGCCAATAGTATTGAAAACATGTTCTGTTCTTACTTTAAACATGTTTTTATGTTGATTATGTTAAACTTCCGGTTAACAGTATTTCTCAATAGGGATTTAGATTATCAGCCCTAATGTCTAAACCATCCGAGGTAGACTGACCACGAGCTATGAGGTTGTGAAACAAAGGTTTTTGCTCCTGTTGAAGCTATAAGTTTGTATAATATCAACCTTGTTTGAAAAAAAAAATATGCGTTTTATATGCGATCTTATGAAGAAAAAAAAACTACACTACACACAATCCTAAGCCTAGTAGCAACGTCTGCTGATTGGTCCAATTCGATGTTACCATAGAAACGTTTACCTTACTGGCTAATGGCTAGAGCTATCTGTAGCTGTTGCTCTGCATCAGGACGTGGACAGCCATACCTCAGCTTTCACGCGTTCCCACTTGAGAGTTTTCATTTACCATCCGAACCACATTGCGGAGAGATTTGGTCCAGCGGTATCTTTCGTAAAAAGCTAACCGGAAGAGCCGAATCCCTACTAAAAGACTTGTTTTATATGGACATTCGCCTATTTTTCACGTGGGTTTTTCAAAAAACGAGATTTAAAAAAGGAGAAAAGCGTTTGAGACTCGCTGTATGTCATGTCCATGTACTCTTGTTATTTAACTACACCAAGATAAATTCAGTTTCAAATTCTAGGGCACCCTTAAGTTAGATTTGAAATGAAAACAACAGCTCTGCCGTGCGGATTCGCCTCGGCCTCTTTGAACACTGGCAGTTGTTTTTCCACAGAGGAATTGATTTTCTTTTTTGCTTTGAGCATTTTTTTAAAGCACAGAACATGAAGCAGTTGCATCATCATCATCTTTATCTCTCTTTCTCTGTTTCAGACCCTGCCACGTGTCCCATAGTTCCAGGACAAGAGACGGTTATTGAGATTTCTAAAGGCCGGTCTGGACTGGGTCTTAGTATAGTCGGCGGCAAAGATACACAGCTGGTACGGTATCAGAAGGAAAATGTTTAAACTGCTTTTGAAATATGAAGTTTGTATTTTGTTGTGTGTGTTTATTTTTTGTTTTAGTTTTTTGTCTTGTTTTATTTTTTAACATTTCTCCGTTTAGTTTTTTTCCTGTTTACCATAAAAAGCGATTGAAATTGCATACAGCACCTTTAATGGATAGACATGCATCAAGAAATCAATCTGTGATCAATACAACATAGATTTTTTTAATTATTATTTATTTTTACCTAGATTTTGGGCTGTATACCCAGGGCGGCATGTTCAAAATGTCTCAAGACTCCTTATATGGTCCAAGCCTTAAAGGGTTAGTTCACCCAAAAATGAAGATTCTGTCAGTATTTACTCACCCTCATGTTGCTCCAAACCTCTATGTGTTTATTTGTTCTGCTGAACACAAAGGAAGATATTTGGAAGAATGCTTTAATCAAACAGATCTCAATCCCCATTGACTACCATAGTAGGATTGAGATCTGTTTGATTAAAACATTATTCTAAATATCTTCCTTTGTGTTCAGCAGAACAAATAAACACATAGAGGTTTGGAACAACATGAGGGTGAGTAAATACTGACAGAATTTTCATTTTTAGGTGAACTAACCCTTTAAAGAAAACTTATCCTTATAGAAAACTAGCTGAAAATACCAATAACAGTTTGATTTTTGGTAGTTTTCTGTAGTTTTCTATTTCTATTGGTGTATGCTTAAAGCTACACGGTGTGATTTTTACCCCCAATGAATATAAGTTTCTCAATTGCGATTTCGTTTTAACTCCTACGGTGGCCAATGTAGTCCAAGATTAACATGGCTTCCAGTTCGACCTCGTCCATGAGTGTTGACTCAAACGTAAACGCGAAAGGCGAAGCTTGAATTAATGGGTATGTCCCTCTTTGGCTAATGTTCTTTCAAGATGGAGGGGCAACATGGCGACCGACATTAGAACCCCTTACCCGTATGGCATATTATACACTCACGAGATTACTTTATTACTTGAACGAAGTAAATATACATTAATGAGCACGTATATTTTTGAAAGAACCAAGTGTTTTTAGCTAAGAATAAACTAAAAGAGTTACACAGTGTAGCTTTAAACAGAAAACAAAAATGCTTCCATATATATATTATGAACCCTAGATTATCTGTTCATTGGTTTGTCAACTGCCGATACACCAGTCTGCAGGCACAGCTTCCATGTGGGTCTGGTCAAAATATCAGGAGGGTGTGTGTTTGTGACCGGTCTAGTTCTCTGCGGTGGGCTGCAGGGCTGCATCAGAACAGGCAGGTCACAGCGGGAGCTTTTTGTCTGCCCTGACTTTCTCCGCAGCGCCTCAGGCTTTTATCAGCAAACTGCCACATCGCCATCATAATTTTGCAGCGCTCCAGCTCTGTGGGCTAGTTTAGCTGTCAAAGGCTTCTACACTCTAAGAAAAAAAGGTACAAAAGCTGTCACTGGGGCTGTACCTTTTCAAAAGGTACACTTTTGTCCATTTTAGGTGCTAATATGTACATTTTAAGTAATATGGAAAATGTAGGTGCTAATATGTACATTTTGTGTGTTAACATGTACATTTCAGGAGCTAATATTTCAATTTTAGGTCCTAATATGTACATTTTAAGTGTTAATATGTACATTTTAGGTGCTAATATGTCCATTTCATGAGCTATGTCAATTTTAGGTGGTAATATGTCCATTTTAGGTGCTAATATGTACATTTAAGGTGCTAATATACATTTTAAGTAATATGTACATTTTAGGTGCTAATATGTCCATTTCATGAGCTATGTCAATTTTAGGTGGTAATATGTCCATTTTAGGTGGTAATATGTACATTTAAGGTGCTAATATACATTTTAAGTAATATGTACATTTTAGGTGCTAATATGTACATTTTAGGTGCTAATATGTACATTTTAGGTGCTAATATGTACATTTTAGGTACTAATATGTACATTTTAAGTAATATGTAAAATGTAGGTGCTAATATGTACATTTTATGTGTTAATATGTCCATTTCAGGAGCTAATATGTCCATTTAGGTCCTAATATGTACATTTTAAGTGTTAATATGTCAATTTCATGAGCTAATATGTCCATTTCATAAGCTAATATGTCTATTTTAGGTGGTAATATGTCCATTTTAGGTGGTAATATGTCCATTTTAGGTGCTAATATGTACATTTTAGGTGCTAATATGTCCATTTCAGGAGCTAATATGTCCATTTAGGTCCTAATATGTACATTTTAAGTGTTAATATGTCAATTTCATGAGCTAATATGTCCATTTCATAAGCTAATATGTCTATTTTAGGTGGTAATATGTCCATTTTAGGTGGTAATATGTCCATTTTAGGTGCTAATATGTATCACTAAGGTACCAATATGCAGCCTTTCGGTACAAAAGTGTACCTTTTGAAAAGGTACAGCCCGAGTGACAGCTTTTGTACCTTTTTTTTCTGAGAGTGTACGAGTGTCCAAAACCAGCCCTCGAGCTCCACGGGTTTTCAGTAGAAAGTGTTTTTATATAAAAAAAAGTTTTTTTAGGTGATTGGGAGCAGATAATCACACATCCTCACACACCATGCCACTTTCTTTGTACTGTGGAGATGAGAAGGAGATGCTTTTCCGGTAGTTCTTTTCCATTAAATTTCAATAGATCGTGATGGAAGCTTTTAAGCTTCAAAAAAATGATCTAAAAGGGATCCATATGTCTCAATCGCTATATTACGGGTCTTCTAAATTTTGTACAACAAACAGATCAAATTTTTACCTACAAAAATATTAGTATGCTAGTGGTATATTAGAAATGTTCCCTTTAAGGAAGATGTAGCCCGTCGTTTCTTTCTTTTATTTTTATTACCATATTCCTCCTTCACTCATATTTCTCTCATATTTTCAGGATGCTATAGTGATTCATGAAGTGTATGAGGAGGGGGCAGCAGCGAGGGACGGTCGACTCTGGGCCGGAGATCAGATTCTCGAGGTTTGTTGATGCTAGTGAGGAGTGTATTGCAAGTTTGTCTTGTGGGACACCCCTCTATAATGTCACCGACAGCTGGTCTGCCTTGAGCAAAATGGAAATTTGATGTTGGTTCGAGGCTTGGTGTTGTTGTGAATAAGAAGAAGAGAGAGATGTGACCAGGAGTGTTTGCAATAATTAGATCTGTGGTTAACTTAGACAATAGCGCCATCATCTGGACATGCTGAATAGCACACAACTTTTTTTACATGATATACAGGCTACTTTTATAGTGTTTACTCATGTTTTGAATTAGTTTTTATTTTTAAATGTTCAGATTTCATTTACATTTTTTCATTTACATTTACATTCAAATGAATTCGGAACATTTTAAAATAAAAACTAATTCAAAATATGAATAAACACTATAAAAGAAATGTAGGTTTTAAATAACTATATACATTTATAAATAATATATAAAATAAGTATATATAGCTTAAATTTATTTGCAGTTTTATTCATTTTAGTACCTGTTACTTGCCAATGCAACATTTGTAATTTAGTTTTTTTTATGTAATACTTATATTTGATTTTATTCCTGTTACCAAAACTGATTATTTTAAAATTGTATATGTCCATTTTAGGTCCTAATATGTACATTTTAAGTGTTAATATGTACATTTTAGGTGCCAATATGTCCATTTCATGAGCTAATATGTCAATTTTAGGTGGTAATATGTCTATTTTAGGTGTTAATATGTACATTTTAGGTGCTAATATGTACATTTTAAGTAATATGTACAATTTAGGTGCTAATATGTACATTTTATGTGTTAATATGTACATTTTAGGTGCCAATAAGTTCATTTTAAGTGATAATATGTACATTTATGTGCTAATATGTCCATTTCAGGAGCTAATATGTCAATTTTGGGTCCTAATATGTACATTTTTACAGTTTTACAGTAACAATATTTCTCAGAGAATGCTGTACACAATACTACATCCCACAACGCAATGTGCTCAACTTGGTCTTCCATTTCTGTATGATTCTGAATGAGCCAAAAATAATCAGATATCTGCCCCCTGCAGGTAAATGGAGTGGACCTGCGCAGCGTCGCTCACGAAGATGCAATCACTGCTCTACGGCAAACACCGTCGAAAGTGCGGTTGACTGTCCTGCGTGACGAGGCGCAATACAGGGACGAGGAGAACCTCGACTTGTTCCAGGTTGAACTCCAGAAGAGAACTGGCCGAGGCCTGGGCCTGAGCATCGTCGGGAAGAGGTGAGGACGCACTTTATCTTTCTTATGAAGAGAACAGGAAAAAATAACAATACAAAAATAATTTAAAATGAAATAAAATGCAGTGTAATAGTCTTTTCAAAAGAATGTAATGCAATAAAATGCGTTGTATAAAATACAATAATATAATGCACAATACAATAATTTTCTATAAAAAAAAGCATAATATAATAATAATAATGTCCAAATAATATATTAAATGCACAATACAATTATCATTTTAAAGTGATATAATAGTACAATAATACTTTTAACATAAAATAAAACAAAATGCACAATGTAACAATTTTCAAATAAAATTTAATGCACAATAGACTTCTTAGTTTTAATAAATCGTGGCTATGCTGTACTAATTTGTTAGTGCGTACAAAAATATATATATCGTGGCACAAATTAAGAATTCATTCCTACGAATTATTAATTTGCTTCTTTGTTTTAGTAAATCATGGCCACGCTGAACTAATTTGTTCCCTCATTTTAATTTAAGCTAAACAAGGGAACAAATTAATTCAGCGTGGCCATGATTTACTAAAACGAAGAAGCAAGTGAATAATTTGTAGGAATGAATTCTTAATTTGTACCACTATTGTTCACATGTCACATGCAAAACAATAATAACTTATGAAATAAATGTGAAATAATTAAACCACAAGAATGGGTGTCTCCAGTCCTTAACTACCTCTTTTCCTCCGTTTCTCTTCAGAAATGGTAAGGGTGTGTTCATCTCAGATGTGGTGAAGGGTGGAGCGGCTGATCTGGACGGCAGACTGATGCAGGGTGATCAGATCCTGTCTGTGGATGGAGAGGACATGAGACAGGCCTCACAAGAGACCGTCGCCGCCATTCTCAAGGTGAGCTCTGCCCGAATACTAAAACCCAAAGCCCAGCTTACAACACGTTCCAAAACCGGATTACATGAGCTGATTTAGTTGGAGCGGCAGCTGTGTGAAGCTGCCACTAGGTGTCGCCGTTTGATTGTGTATTTGAAGGTCGTTGAGGTCTGTGCTGTGTATAAACAAAGAGGTATAATCGCTTATTTCTCTTAAAAGAGATGGTGTCTGAAGTGTTCTTTTAAAGTGATAAAAACACTGAATTTTATCTATCTTACATTTTATAAGGGTCAGGGTAGGTACCATATAGATATAGAGTCAGCTTACAGGTCAAATTAAATGTGGCATCCACCCCTTTTTTTTCTTCTTTTTTTTCAGTTTAAACAGTAGCATCAGATTAGTTTATAGCAGTTTTTGCAATGGTCAGCTTAGATATCAGCATATCAGCTTTCCCCAACAATGTGCTTGAAAGTGATATTAAACAATTTCCAGTCCAACCTCTCTCTGTTTTGAGGCGTATTGAAATTAATGTAACAACCAAAAGTTAAAGGGATAGTTCACTTTGAAATGAATTTTTGAAATGTTTTAGCTTACCTCAAGATGTAGGTGTCTTTGTTTCCACAGTTTTTTTAGGTCTATCAGTCAGTCATATAATGGAGGTCTATGGGGTCCACCTCAAAGAGCATGCACAGAGAAGTCCAAATTAAACATGATTTAATGACTCGAAATGTAAGTACACATTGATGGCCTAAGACACGAAACGAGCGGTTTGTGTGAGAAAACGAACAGTATTTAGATTGTTTTTACCTCTTGTAATCACAGCCACAATGCACCCGTGCCCTCAGATCACTTGGACGTGGCTGTGGTTACAAGAGGTAAAAACTATATAAATACTGTTCATTTTCTGTGTCTAAGGCCATCAATGTGTACTTATATTTACAAGTCATTAAATCATGTTTAATTTGAACTTCTCTGTGCATGCTCTTAGAGGTGGACCCCATAGACCTCCATTATATGACTGACAGACACGAACGATTTGACCTAAAAATGTCTAAATTGAAAGTACTGTGGAAACAAAGACACCTACATCTTGGATGGCCTTGAGTTAAGCTAAAACATATCAAAAATTGATTTCAAAGTGAACTATCCCTTTAAGGGCCACACACAATTCTTGTACAACATTTTGTACAATAGATTTATATATATATACTAATGCCAATAGGTGTCGCTATATATATATAATACATTGTAAAATTGCCCATTTGTGATGCCATCTACACCACTTCGAGAGTCGCATTTGGGTTTGTGAAAAGGGCTCAGTAATGTTGTTCTGAACAGGATAAAATAGTGTCTGTTATTGTTGGAGTTGGTGGAATTGTGGAAAACATTGGCCTGAATGAGGTTGCATTGAGCCCGTGTTGTTTGGCTGTACCGTCCCTGTGGAGTTCAGCTCGATGGGGTGAGGATGTGTGATGTCAAGCTCTCTAGAAGAGATGTTGTGTTGTGGCCTCAGGTGTTTGCATGTATGTGAAGGTTCTCGAAAGTATGCGAAAGTGTGTTATGAGCAAGATGACAGGCCACAATGCCAAACATGTGTGTGCGTCAACGTGTGTGCTGCTGTGATCCTGCAGTGCGCCAGGGGCAAGGTGCTGTTGGAACTGGGCCGACTGAAGGCTGCCTCCTGGATCTCTTCCAGACGCACGTCCCAGGGAAGTCAGGTGTGTAGCCCGCGTCCGACACCTTCTCGGGCTTCCCTGCTACGTCTTATAAACCAGGAGTCCAGCATGCCGAACTCTAACCCAATCGATAGTGCATGATAGCGGACGGGCCAACCAGCGGTGTGTGACTGTGGGCATGTGTGTGTGTGTGTTACTCATCCATATTGCCTGAAAAGCAAATGGAGTCTGTGTTTGTGGCACATCAGCATGCTCTCACATGTCACTAACCAAGATGTATGAATGTGCGATGACTATGTTCTTTATTTGTGTATGGGATAGCACCTTCAGCTAACTCTTTCTCTTTTAGATGAGCCACGTGAGCGGCAACACCAGCACCCCAACCCCCACGCCCCCTGTCGTGGCCCCTGTCCCTTCTCAAACCCTCAACAACAACAGCCAAAATATCAGCGAGCCCAACAATAAAAGCACAGGTACTTTTCACACCACATTAGCTCTGACAGTACGAGGAAACAGCCATAAAACCACTATAAATCAGCCTTAAAACAACACGCTTCTTATCTGTCGACGCGACAGCTAGCGGTGGTGCCTCCATAAACAGTTTAGAGCGTGTTTGTGATTTTGTTTTCTTCTGTTGTTTGAATGGAAATGGTTTATTCTTAGTCTGTTTAAATTAAAGTTGCAGTCACATTGGTGAAATCCAGTCATGTCATTAGACATCCATGTGTTTGGGAATTTTGCATGAGGGCGACAAATTTCCCCATGCAGTAGAAAGTTGCTTGGTTTGAAACTACACTATTGACAAAAATAATATTGTATGTATTGTATTATAATTAAAAAATAAAAATTGCCCCAAAAATTCGCTAATGCACTCAAAAAAATTATATTTTTGCTTTAATTCGGGGTTTTTTTCGTCAACAGGTTCCACATAACTGGATTACGTTAAAAAAACATAATTTGTTCATGTAACTTCAACATCATGGAATTAAGTAATTTTAAATTACCCAATTTAAGTAGTCTCAACTTGAATTTTTAAAGGCTTCCTAGAGACATTAGACATTTTATTATATTCATTCATTCATTTATATTTCATTTAATTCAGTGACAGTTAATTAAATTGATAGACTATAGCTAGCTATTTGCTAGCAGTAGCACATATTAGCAGCTTGAATGCTAAGATTTACATGCTCCTTCAATGATGAAATCAGTCGACAGCCAAACAAAATGCTCCACTCTTCTCCACAATGGTAACCCACTGTAACTTAAATGGTTTTAATAATTCAAATGTAATTTAACATTAAACACTATTACACTCTATCAAGTCTTCCCCTTTTCTAAATTTCTCAAAAAAAAACCCATAAAATAACACTTAATTTTAACATTTATTCTCTCTTAATTCAACCATATGCAAAGCATGCTGGGAACTAAAAGCACTGGCCAGTTTCAGTTAATGCAACACAAATTAATAAAGTAATCCAACACAAACGGATTAAGTAAACTTAAAGGCACACTATGCACTCTCTTTTTTTTGTAAAACAGTGACCTCTAGAGCCGCTGTGGTGTACTTGCACTGTCGTAAATAACCGTTATTCCCCTGTTACTGCATATCTACTGAACTACTGTCAAGTGCTAGACTGCTTTTTAATAATAAAGTTGCCTATCGCGTTTGCTGGCTTATAGCGTTTTTACATGATTTCTGCAAAATCAGAAGTAAATAGCCTATAGTGTATAGGCTACTGTATAATTTCATTCATGTTTTTTGATTGTAATGTAAACATTACAAAATGTCAGATGACATCAATCAAGTTAAATGTACGTCGCATTATTTCATAACATTGGACGTTATGATTTAGACATGATTACAATTTATCATAATAGCAAATTGTGTTCAATTATTTACAACCTCTAGGCTTATACATGTCCTAATAATTATGTGAGATATTGACTATGTCCTCATAGTAATCGCAAGAATCAACATCAACAGCGTCAAGATTTGATTGATTCATAATCAACACAATTTGAAGTTACAGTCGGGAAGTGTACTGTTAGTCAGATAAACTTGATATAACAGTAACTTACACACGTCATAAGAAATCCGAACCAGACACAGGACTAAAGATACGTGATAAATACACATCACAACACCTGAGTTCAGCTGGCAAACTAGCTATTGTGGCAAGCTCGGCAATAAATCATAACGAAAAAAACAACAAGACTAAGAGAAACGACTGTTTTTAGGAAGTCTGCTTAAAGCTCTGGTAATCGAAAGCTATAGACATATGTGAGAATTATTGAACTGGTCTTATTATCAACAACGGATGAATGAACAGCACCGTAAAAAATGACATACTACAAGCCAGTGCAGCAACATACAATATAGAAACAAGTATACAAATACAAACAAGTTTATAAATAAGAGATTTACTTACAAGTCCATCAACAAGATTGGCAGGTCAGCATCGCAGTTACAATCCAGTGCAGCTTTTAAGCTCGCGCCAACGAGTGAAAGCCCGACCGAGTGGACTCTTGTCCGGTTTCTAGCACGGTCCGATTCTCTTTCCCTTTTTCGAAAGTAGCTTCATACAGTATGATGTTGTTGATGCGTGTGACGTCGTTGCCGTAAACCATTTCGTGATTCTCACGCGCTGTGTCAGGGGCGCCACTCTCAAACTTGCATGGCTGGTTTTTCCGGCGGCGTCCCCCCCCCCAAGCTTTCCTACCAGGATGATTCGCCCTACTATGACTTTGTTAACCACCAAAACGACTTTGAAGCTGTTATATTAAGGTACAGATCTTGCATAGAGTGCCTTTAAGTTGTACATATATTTAAGCAAATTGAACACACAATAAAATTAAGTTCGGGCAAAGTGGCAGTTGGCTCGCACTATACTGCCACCCTCTGGATGCACAAAATTTTTAACTTAACATAAATGGTTTGTGTTTAGGATTTTGTACTGTTAAGTTGAGACACAATTACATAGACCTTAATAGAAAGAAAAAAAACAATTCAAGTCAAAAAACACAATTATTATAAGTAAACTATATATAAATATATTATGTAAAGTGCACAACCTTCCTAGTTCATTTTTTGAGTGTGTGATCGCACCTTAAGCCATTTTTTAGCGATCTCATGGGTCACTCGTTGTGGGGTTCAGTCTGGGAATATTTATATACTGCAAGTTAATACATAACACTTTTACCTGTTGCTGGAACTGATACTAATCTACAAAGTAGGCATAGATAATGCTTATAAACACAAAATGGCTTACAAATACTGGTAATCTGTCAGGAATATTGGTATGCACACAACTGCATAGGTCACCTTTTCAAACACTTCTTAACTTTTGGTTTCGTTACTAATTTTAAATCCTTGTGGATTTCAGGTTCAGGTACCAAAATATTCACATCTAACTTCTGCCCACACCAGTACCCTTTGTATAAAAACATACTTTATGTAAGTTCGCAAAGGTTTCATCGATGTATTTTAAACCTGTGGTCCTATTTAACATGATTTTTTTGGGTTATTGTGGCAGTGACTAACTGACACGCATCAGCCAAGTAGATTTAGCTATAGTCAGGTGATGGCCAATTATGGCCAATGTATCTGTATATTGTGTCTCTATATCCAACCCACATGACCAATGCATGAGCTTTACCACTGTTGTGTTCCTCAGTAAATTTCTTAATCAGGAACTCATAATAGTTACTTTTCTAATCAACAAGATTGGATTAAAACATTTCAATCTCTTGAAGGATTGTTTTCCGAAAGTTAGTGTCTGACATTTTATCCCTCCAGGGATCGAGCCAGGCGTTCGGACAGTGGAGATCACACGGGTAAGATTGTTTGCCTCTATATATATAGTGCTCAGGAGTTTAATTTTTAGTAGACCCTCAGCAGTGACTTTGTCTCGCTTTCTCAGGGTCCCACCGACGCTTTGGGTGTCAGTATAGCGGGCGGTAAGGGAAGTCCGCTGGGTGACATCCCCATCTTCATCGCCATGATCCAGGCCAATGGCGTGGCTGCCAAGACGCATCGCCTCAAAGTACATCATCCTTGCTTTTCCAATTCCTTTCTGTTGCTCACTTTCCACATTAGTCTTGTGTAAATCAGGCTGAGAGTCATTGATTAAGCCTTATATAGTGGTTTGGGTGTGTAGGGTACTGTTTGGGATTGGGTTTGTATCCATGTGAATGAATTTCAAGCATTTTTCCTTTAATGTAGGTAGGTGACAGGATTGTGAGCATCAATTCTCAGTCTCTGGATGGCTTCACTCACGGAGACGTCGTAAATATACTGAAGAATGCTTACGGCACTATCGTCCTCCAGGTAAACATTGCACTCAATAATACTGTTTGTTCATTAAATATCTCCATATTTCAGATGTTAAGTCTTCGAGTTTATTTGTGGGTTAGTTAATGATGTAGACCGTGGCAAACAAATCATTCTTTTGGGCCAAAAACACCTTCATGCTGTGAAAATACAAACCGGAAGACAGAACACAACGGGTGCCGAACTGAAAAGGGATGGGGCTACATGAGATCTATAACACCCCCTTGTGTTGCATTATACATTATTTGTTTTGTAAAACAGCTTGATTTTAGAGCCAGACCGATTTATCCGTAGGCCGATATTAGGCATTTTCCAAACTATCGGTATCGGCAGTTATAATGGCCGATAAATTAATATTTCAATTATAAAATAAAAAACGGACGAAACACGCTTCAACCATGTCATGAGTGTTGGAGTTGTATCGTTTGTCCACCGGAGGGCACTCTACACCTTCCCTGTTGGCAACACTCGTTGAGTTGGTCACGAGACATACATTGCTTGAACATCCTCAAATAAGCATGACAAAATGTGGACTATCATGTCCAGTTTTGCTGCAGTTAAATAAGCCGAGAGTGAAGCGGAATTAGCTAGTAATAGTTACGTTACGTTGTTACAGTGTAGTTGACTGACTGTCCTTTTAACTTTTGACTCAAGTATTTCTTTAATACCACGTGACAGTTATAGCAATGAGACGTATCATCTCTCCTCGGCCTGTTATATTGAAAATGTATGTTTTAAAATTATTTACAAATAACTAATGTTAGGGAAATCTGTTAATGTTTTGTTTGCGCGTTCCTGGAAAAAAAAAAAATATCGGCCGATATATCGGATTTTAAAACCAACAAATATTTGTATCGGTATCGGCCTTCAAAATCCTTTATCAGTCGGGCTCTAGTTGATTTGCTAAAGTTTACGTACTGACTTTGACTTTTGTTCTGCTAAACAGTTTTCGATAAGCTAGTTTGACGAAGCGCCAAGGCTGCCAGTCGTGCACCCACAATTCAAATTAGCTACTGCATTCTCGCTCGCTGACTTGCTAATGAGGGAACTCACATTAGGTAATGTGATTTGAATACAGTGTACTTGTTAACAGGATCACGGCAGACAGTCCGTGGGTTGAAGTCGAGCTTTTAAGAAGCCGCTGGCGCTAACAGACCCTCCGACCCGTCTGGTGAGGTGCGCGATATCACCCACATTTATTTCAAATGTTTTAGGAGTTGGTTGGTGGGTGGTTGTTTTATAATCCCCAGAAATTTCCCATAACCCACCACCAGTTTGATAATAGCGCCTTAAGTTTGTATGTGTAGTTCGTATATGAGAACTGTTAGCATTGTTAAGAAAAATTGCTTATCTAAGAATACCATGCTATTACTGTGGTATTTTTTTGTAAGTGGTGTATTGTAGCATTTTTGCATGTAGGTGCGGTCTCAGTGATGTGTGTATACACGCTTGTATTGTGTGCTGTTATTGCTATGCAGAGCCGCCGTGTGTATATGTTCTGTACGGTTATCGGTGTGTGTTAGCGGAGTCGGTGCATCGAAGGACAGTGTGCTGTGTATACGTGTGAGTGTGTTTGTTTGGACTCATGGTTGTGTGTGTGTGTGTGTGTGTGTGTGAGTGGTTGGTGCTGTGTCACTGGGCTGTTATCAGCCGTGTGCAGCTGTGCGGCGGTTGCACGCGGGTTGCCAGATAATCCCAGTTCTTTATGCAAATGTAGCGTTATCTGCGCAGTTCCAGGAGGAATGCACTGGGCTTTTAAACAGGGGAGCCCAGCCTGCAAAGCCCTGATTACAGCAGCTCAGAGAGCAATTATTGTTTAGCTCTCTCTCTCCCTCTCACACACTCTCTCTCTCTCTCTCGCTCGCTCATTCATTCCCTCTTCACTCGTTTGAGAAAGCATTCTCTCTCTCTCTCTCTCTCTCTCTCTCTCTGGCTGCTATATGTTTAATTGGACACATGTAATGCCCTATGCTATTACTCATGTCTCCGAAATCAGAGAATTTTATACTGTTTTGTTTTTTTATAGCATTTTTAGCCCCTGGAAAGCCATTCTGGCCATGATCATGTGCTTTTCTTTGAGAAGTTTAATGTTGCACCCTACTGAAGTATTTATCTTTCACAAAGTTTCCTCACATTAGCTATGTTTCCAATTCCACACAAAGTTGCGAATTTAACTTGTGTGAAAAATGGTAATATCGAATCAAACATTTGCAAAGTTTTCATCCAGTGAGTTGAAGAGAACGAAATCGTTACTTTTCTGATAAACTGGCGCTAAATGTCACTCAGAAATGTTGGAGAAGCCACTGTATATAATAATAAATTTTGTATAAAAGAAAGTACTTGCGCCTCAGAGTGCTTAGACGAAACACGATAATTGCATTGCAAAGGAAGATGCCTGTTGTTTGCATCGTAGTTTAAAATTAAAAAAGTATATTTTTTAATTAATTTTTAAAATTTGTATTTTTTTATATTATTTGTTTCAAATAAAAAATCGAAATCGCATTTTTATGTGCATTTTTTGTTTATTTTTAGTCAAAATTATTTTTAACAAATAACAAATTATTTGCAAACATTTGTTTTTTTTATGCAATATCCCAAAATGTGCATAAAAATAAGTGGGTGGAAACATGTGCCGCAAAAGACCTCCTACTCTCCGCTTACTGAACTAATGCGTAAACATTTTGGAAGCGCGCTAGCTAGACGTGATTTAAACTTTGTCGGATTAAGAGCCAAGACGAAAAATGTACTAAGCACGATGTTCTCTTGCCGTTCCTGATTTTTTAAAACACACTTTAGTCTTTCAGAAACGAAAACTGATGAAGATCTGAAAACGCTCATAGAGGAACCCACCCATAGAGGAAATCAGGACAGAAGTGCTCAAAAGAGACGGATTAAAACACCAGGTGTAAACATGAATGTGTCTCCCTCGTCTACTTGTGATCCGGTTGACCAAAACACATCTTATTACCAGGTGTGAATAGGGTCACTAAAGCCCACTAGCAACTCGAAGCATTGCAATGGGCTGAGAACCACTTCAACTGCATAACAACACCTTAGTATCAACACAGCAAAATGTGCTAAAACTACCCAAAACCCCCTTAAAATACCAAAAAAATAATAATACTTGTTAAAATACCTCAAAAACCCAGCAAATGCATAACAATATGTTAAACACTCAAATCTCATAGGAACCACATTGGAACTTATCCACAGGATCAAACAAGTGTGAGAACTACTCAGACTCCCAAAGCAACAGCATAGCAACACCTTAGCAACAGCATAGCAACACATGGCATAGTAACTTAGTGAATTCTACTTAGAACACTCTGAAATTTCATTGCATTGCAGTGCCATGGCATCCACTCAGAACACCATAGTAACACCTCAGCAGTGTCATAGCAACATGCTAGAATTCCTCAGGAACCCTAGCAACTGCTTAGCAACACCCTGGCAAAACACTCTGAATGACATCTGACCACTGCATAGCAACAGCCCAGGTATTAATTAAAAGACTTGTTTAAAAAAAAAAAAAAACTCAGCCATTTATCAGTCATTTATAGTCTATTTACCCTGACACCCTAGCAACCACCCAAAACACCCTAGCAACATGGCTGAGAGTTTTGTATGGACATTAACTACTCTATCTTTCTTTTATCACTCTTTCTCTCTTTTTTGCTCTGTAATTAATAGGTTATTTACCCTGACACCCTAGCAACCACCCAAAACACCCTAGCAACGTGGCTGAGAGTTTTGAATGAATTTTTCTTTTATCACTCTTTCTTTTTTTCTGCTCTTTTTTGTCTTTTTAATCACTTATTTTTTCTTTATTCTTTTTTTAATATTTTTCCTCTTTTCTCACTCTTTTTTGTAGCTTTTTCTTTTTTTCCTTGCTCTTTTTTATCGTTTTCTTTTTACTCTTTTTTTCTCTTTTTTCATCCTGTCTTTTCTTGCTCTTATATCTCTTTCTTTATTTCTGTTTCTTACTGTCTTCTTTTTTCTTTCTGACTTCATTTCTTCTTTCTTACTGTCTTTCTCTTTCTGTCAGTAGGTGTATGCGAGATAGCAACTGTGATGACTTGGGAGTGTTTCTCTCCTGTTGTTGACTTGTTTATTAATTAGCTTTTGTTTATTGTTGTGGATTTTACTTTTAATTGCCTTGCCGTTAATTAAATATGCAAATTAATATACCACTGCCCTCATAGCTAGCCCAGAGTTTAACGGAAGAGGAAAATGTAAATGAAACGCCTTTTTGATTCTGATGAAGGAGACAGAGGTTTGATGAACAGCGCCCAAACGATCATTCGCCAACAGTCGCCATGAAGAACATTAAAGGGCTGTTAGGATGCATTTCAGTGCCAAAACACACACTACACAGAGAGCAGTTTTCTGTTATCTACAGGCAGACAGTCATTTGTGAAAACACACACACACACACGTCTGAATGAAAGAAAACACCTCCAGTGGGTTTCAGAACATTAAGTCATTCATTGAATTGTAATGTTTGACGGTGTCCGTCTGTGATTGACAGGTGGTGGCTGACACCAACATCAGTGCCATAGCCAGTCAGGTGGAGAGTCTGTCCAGTAGCTCCACCCCCAGTACCAACCCAGAAGTCCGGCCGGTGGAACCAGAGTGAGTGACATCACCAGCGTCCAGCAGTCACATGACAACAAGACTTTACAATTTCTGATACAGTAGTGTCAGCTGATTGCACATGATCCCTTTTTATCGGTTTATCAAAGGCTTTCGACACAGTGGATCAGATTAAGGAGTGTTGGCTTATCAAATCATGTTATTCTCTGGTTTAAAAATTATTTAAGGTAAAAGTTAAGGGTAAAAATTTAAGACTATTGGAGATTGTTAAAGGTGTTCCTCAAGGATCCGTGTTGGGGCCTCTCTTATTCACTATCTACATTAACTGTATTGATCATGATAAACAAGATGTTAATTTTCACTTTTACGCTGATGTTACTGTTATGATACTGTTACTGTAAACTTCAAGCGGCTTTTGATGTTATTCGATCCTGTGTTTGCGTGATATTAACAGGACGCCCAAGCCAAAGACCATCACTCTGGAGAAGGGCTCAGAGGGGCTGGGCTTCAGTATCGTTGGTGGCTTTGGGAGTCCACATGGAGATCTTCCCATCTACGTTAAAACAGTCTTCAGCAAGGTAATTCTCCGAGGATCATCAAGTTCTGTCTTCATTTCCAGATGAAATGAAACTAAACGTACCTGACATCAGCTACTACTAGAAATTCATATCAGAGCCATGGCCTAGTGGGAAACGCATGTGATCTGATAAATTGTGGCCGACTAAATCTTAAATCCAGCTCGCAACATCCTATTTATCCCATTCTCCCATCCTGTCTCTTCATTTTCTAATTATACTAAATAAGATTTTTGATAGTTTGGGCCAAATTTTATTTGACATTTTAAAGGACTATTGTCACTTGGAATAAAACATTTTAATCATTTTTGCTGTTTTTTATTTTTAATATAATTTTGTAAACTATAAATGTAATTTATATATATATATATATATATATATGAAGAGTTCAGATGCAAAAGCCTCTAAATGCCATTTGAAATTTTCTTCTTTAATGATGAATTTTATCAAACTTGTATATTTAAGTTCAGTAATTTCACATAAATAGCAATTAATAGGTAATTATCATTGCCAATTAAGTGAAATTACTGAACTTAAATATACAAGCTTGATAAAAATTATCATTCTAGAAGAAAATTTCAAATGGCACTTAGAGGCTTTTGCATCTGAACTCTTCATATATATATATATATATATATATTGTAGCGGTTAAAGTAATATATATATATATATATATATATATATATATATATATATATATATATTGTAGCGGTTAAAGTATTATATAATACTTTAACCGCTACATATATATATATATATATATATATATTACTTTAACTGCTACAATATATATATATATATATATTACTTTAACCGCTACAATATATATATATATATATATATATATATATATTACTTTAACTGCTACATATATATATATATATATATATATATATATATTACTTTAACCGCTACAATATATATATATATATATATATATATATATATATATATTACTTTAACTGCTACATATATATATATATATATATATATATATATATTACTTTAACCGCTACAATACATATATATATATATATATATATATATATTACTTTAACTGCTACAATATATATATATATATATATATATATATATTACTTTAACCGCTACAATATATATATATATATATATATATTACTTTAACTGCTACTATATATATATATATATATATATATATATATATTACTTTAACCGCTACAATATATATATATATATATATATATATATATATATATATTACTTTAACTGCTACAATATATATATATATATATATATATATATTACTTTAACCGCTACAATACATATATATATATATATATATATATATATATATATATATATATATATATATATATATATATATATATATATATGTATTGTAGCGGTTAAAGTAATATATATATATATATATATATATATATATATATATATATATATTGTAGCAGTTAAAGTAATATATATATATATATATATATATATATATATTGTAGCGGTTAAAGTATTATATATATATATATATATATATATATAGTAGCTGCTTAAGGGGATAATCCACCCAAAAATTTTGTCATCATTTACTCACCCTCAAGTTGTACCAAACCTTTACGAGTTTCTTTCTTCTGATGAACACAAAACAAGATATTTTGAAGAATGATTGGAACCAAACAGTTGTTAGGCACCATTGACTTCCATAGTAAGGAAGTCAATGGTGCCAAAGTTCCAATCATTCTTCAAAATATCTTATTTTGTGTTCATCAGAAGAAAGAAACTCGTAAAGGTTTGGTACAACTTGAGGGTGAGTAAATGATGACTGAATTTTCAGTTTTGGGTGGAGTATCCCTTTAAGCAATATAAATTGTAGCAGTATTATTTTTCCCTGGAACTAAAAAAATAATTTTTATTAATTGAAATGAAGCTGAAATAAAAGAAAATATAAAAATTTGATGAAAAGCTGAAATTGAAAATTTTAAATGGTTCCTTTTCAACCGACAGAAATAATAAAATGATTAAAATGGAAATAAAATATATAACAGTTTAATAGAAATAATTACAAAAAAAAAACAATGAAAATGACTACCGGTAAATGAAAACAGAAAATATTAAATGATATAATAGTATAAAAATAGTACTAAAATAACACTGGAATGTAGTATGTTTAAGCAAGATAAATGAAGTAATATTCCTTTTTTATTACAGGATTATAAATTAAAAACATCTGCAGACACTTGCATATTTTTCTGTAATATGTTCAGAACCCTGCACCACTTAATGTCTGTACAATATTTAAAGGCGAGTGTTTGCGCTGTGGCCACCAGGGAGCAGCACAGAGCTCGGTTTCACACAAACATATCCAGAGATAAGACACTTCATATTCTCCTAGAAACAATGCATGTTTTGTGTTTACCTGATGACTCTACCAACCTCTCTGGAGGTCTGTGAATGTCATGCAGGGGTCCTGTGCCTCTTGAACAATTTAAATATTGATTTAAATACTTTGGTACATTTTAAAGATCTGTTAAGCATTATTGAAAACAACAATGGTCAGTTGTGGTCACTTAATTCTGTAACTGAATAAATAATCCCGTTGTCCTCCTACCTGCAGGGGGCAGCGGCAGTGGACGGGCGTCTGAAGCGTGGAGACCAGCTGCTGTCGGTCAACGGAGAGAGTCTAGAGGGCGTCACGCACGAGCAGGCCGTGGCCATACTGAAGAAGCAGCGGGGAAGCGTCACGCTCTCTGTGCTCTCCTAACAAACACTACATCTACTGAGAAACACACATTCCTTTCACACATCTTAAAGAGACTCTGTCAGCAACGGCCACTTTACTTCCTGATGGAGACTGTTTGCACTCGATCGTTTAAACTGCGCCTGCTACTGTTTGTGCACCTGCTATCGAAATCGATCAGAAAAATACTCACAAAGGGAATTTATTGTATCGTCTTTGACCTGTAGCCTCGGATGTGAGCGGTGAATTATTATTTTGATGAAATGAGTGCTGGTAACTCAAGACCAGGAGGGAAAATGACAGTAGGAGACACACTAACACACACTTTATTAGTGATATTATTTCAATGCACATATGACAACTTTTAGTGTGGTTGTCCTGATTTAAAACAAACATACTCGACAAACCCGCCTTATTTTCAAGAAATCCGATTTTTCCATTAAATGTAGCGTGTAGATGAATGAGTGTTAATAAGGGACGATAGATCAGACTGTGTTGGGATGTTTTGTTTAGCTTGTGTTAGTATCATTTCAATCAAATTCGTTACATTGCAGAGTTGTTTTGTGAGGATTTCAAAAACTGGTATGACTGACTTCTGTGCAGCTTAAAATGAGAGATTTTGCAGAATGTTCACGCTGCTCTTTGCATGTAATGAAAGTGGATGGGGACTGGAAGTTTTGAGCTTCAGAAATGACAAAAAATAACTTTAAAGTATCTCAAAAGTTGTTCATATGACTCGTGCGCTACAGTTCAACTCTTTGGATGTCGTACGACTGACATTTAAAATCTTCCGAATTTCAGACAGTTCTGCACACATAGCTATTATTGTAAGTTAAAAGTTGTTTTTCCACTTACAATCTTTCCTGAAATTAAAATTTCAAACAGTTTTTCACACAAAACTGTCCTTTTTGGGCCGTGACTGTCCCAGTCCCCATTCACTTCCATTGTATGGGAAAAAGCAGCTTTATCATTCTTCAAAATATCTCCTTTTAGGTTCCACAGAAGAAATTAAGCCATACGGGTTTGGAATGACACAAATAATGACCATTTTTAATTTTTTGGGAGAGCTAGTCCACTGTATCATGTTGCTGTATCATCGAGATTTCAAAAATGACAGAAATCCTTATGAATAACATAGTTTTTTATTACGTTTTTGTAATTCCATTTGTAATTCAATTGCACACCTTTGTCATTTCATTGTAAATATGTAATTTATTTCCTTTTTAGGGTGTTTTTGCATCACTTTTGTCTTCATGAAGATGTCTTCATATCCTAGTTTGACACTGTGTGTGTCTGTGTGTCACAATAAGAGGATATCCTGTGTCAGTCTCTGTCCTAGAGGAAGTGTAGCAGGCTCTTGAGGGACTATCAGACCTCTCCAGGTTGTAAGCCTCGTCCAGACCGTCTCCTCTACTAGGATTTCGTAAGCACATCCTCATACTATGCCTCTTGAATTCTCGTGCCATGTGGACAGTGTGTTCTGAACTGTCCAGCGCTGCGTCCCTTTAAAAAGATTGCCTGTCTTTATCCCCTTTATCCTTCAAGAAAATGCAACACCCCAGTCTGCTACCTTCCACTAGATCTTTACATTTGGGCTTAAATCACATGGATTCTTCGACTCAGCGGTCGAGGTTAACGCTGTAGTAACGCCGTTATATCGGCCATTTTTCTGTCAGTGTAATGTTTTTAACCAGTTAAAAGGTCCAAAGAAACCTTTTAGTTAAATTCATACGTTAGATACAGATCTAAGCCTGATTTATTAACATTTACAAAAGTGGTCATTATGGTCTGTGGCTTTGTTTTGGATGAGTAGAATTTATCTAAAGTGGCAGAAAATAAAGTTATTTCAATTTTAAGCATCTTTCGACTTCTAAATTCGGATGTCTGTGGGAAAAAAATATAAAGAGAAATATATGCCTGTTTCAAATATTTACCTGCAAAATTATTTTAAAAAATTTAGGTAAGGCACGAAAAACCAGCCGTTTCTGCTTTAGTTAAAATGTATGTGGGGTCAGTAAGATTTTTTTTTCTTTGAAAGAAATAATTTTATTGAAAAAGGATGCATTTAAAATGATCAAAAGTGACGGTAAAGACGTATAATGTTACAAAAGATTTCTATTCCAAATAAATGCTGTTCTTTCTTTTCATCAAAAAGTGTGTCATGGTTTCCACACAACTTTTTTTTTTAAACATTAATAGAAATGTTTCTTGAGCAGCAAATTAGCATATTGGAAGGATTTCTGAAGGATCATGTGACACTGAAGAAAATCACAGGAATAAATTGCATTTTAAAATATATTCAAATAGAAAGCTGATGTTTTAATTTGTAATAATATTTCACAATATTACTGTTTTTACTGTATTTTTTTCATTAATAATTGCATCGTTGGTGCAGCAGAAGACACGTACTTCAAAAACATTAAAATAGCTAACGTCCAAAAGGTATATTGATTTTTATTATTTTTTAAAGAGGCTTGCACAACAAATATCTGTAAGATACTGAATGTCTAATATTTTTTAATGTTCAAAATGGGTACATCAACAAATGCCCTTTATAGAATAAACGTGGATTATTAGTAAAGAAATCTACAAAAATCACTGCTAAACTTTCATACAAGAAAGAGCTGTGACAGCTATTAAAATGTGAACTTAAGGTTAACATGTTGTGCTGACTCTGCTAATTCCTTGAAATCACATTGCGGTCACTTTTTCGTCAGTTTGGTGAACGATCACGCTCTCATATGCGTCGCTGCTCCTGAAAAACAAGTGTCAATTCCAGTGTTAATAGCATTTTAAAGGGAATATTCACTCCTTTGCTATTCATTTTATATCAAACATAATCAAATTTGTTTCTTCAGGTTGATCAGGCCATATAAATCAGGCCGTTCTCAGTATCAGTAATGATAGTATATCTGTTTTCCCCAGGAACGTCTATTAATATGATGATATAATCACTCTGAGCTTTATTACAGGTGTATCGGTATTATTACCTGATAGCGTCAAGGCTGGATTCATAGGTTGATGATCCATTGGTCCTGGCGTATTCATTGGGAATGACTGCTTCTGATTTGCTTTAGTCAAAAAGAAAGACAGATTAAAATGTGGTGTTTACACACAGCAGAATTGTGTATTATGTGTATTAGCCTAAATAGATCAATAAACATGAATTACTTTATACACTTAAAAAAAAAAAAAAAGTAACCTGGTTGCCTTAAAATTTTAAGTTCATTGAAATGGAAAAATTGAGTTAATACAATGAAGGAGATTAATTTAATCACCAGAAACTCAAAATATTATGTCATCTGAACTACATAAATTATCTACGTTGATTTGACAAAAGAAAATATGTCGTGATTCACTGTAAAAAAAAAAAAAAAAAAAAGATTTTCATGGTTTGAAATCACAACATATTTTCTTTTGTCAAATCAACTTAGATAATTGATGTAGTTCAGATAACCTAATATTTAGAGTTTCTGGTAAAATTAATCTCCTTCATTGTTTTCATTTCAATGAACTTAAAAAAACAAGTAACCTGCTTGCCTTAAAATTTTAAGTTAAACCAACAATATTTTTTTACAGTGCACAAATCATGAAAATATTTTTTTACAGTGTAATAACTTTGATTTCAAACATATTATAATTGAGAAAAATTAAGAAATATATTTATTGCCTCTTATGGTTCAATGAAGAACATCCATAGAAACCTTTCGTTAATTGCACAAAAGGAAAATGGTTCTTAAGATCATTTTAATGAACTTCACCCCGAGACAAAAATGGTTGTTTTAAAAAACTGTTTGTGGAGAGCCCAAAGAATCATTATGAACAGTATGATCAATAAGGTGATCAATTGACAATATGATGGCAACAAATTCATCAAAATAAGTTGACTGATTTTCAATTTTTTATATTTATACTAAATTCAACTCATTTAAGTCAGTTTAATGTAGCTTAATTTAAGTTGAAATGACTTAAATGACTTCTACTTGACTTTAAAGCACCCAAAAATGACAATTCTGGCAAAATAGGCTATGCATCGTCATGATTTACTTTCCTATCGGCCTATAGGGCCCATTTAAAAAAAAATAAAAATTAAACAGAAGAAAGTCATACGGGTTTGGAACGACCTTAGGGTGAATAGATTGACCGAACTGTCATTTTAAATATTAAAACTGCTACTGATTTCAGTGTGGTCTGAAATATAGACGCAACAGATTACCTTGGAGTTTCAAACCATGCTTTGTTTACGAGGAAGGCGATGAAGATGAGAAAGAGGAACACACCAACGGCAATGATTCCTGTAAGCCAGTTGGGCAGAGTTTCCGCTGCTTTCTCTAAAAGAGACACGTGATAACTGTACATTACAATATCTAAAATCTCACTTTAAATGCTTGTTGATGCTTTTTTTTTCTAGATGTCCCTCCAAAAAAATATATGCAAAGGCTGTACCTGCTTGAGCCGCAGCTAGTCCCAGTGTGAGCATAAGCCAGTGAAGCACAGCGACTCGTTTCCCCATGTTTATTCCTCTTTAGATCCGCAAAAATGTGTTTACATGTGAAACGCTCAGATCTGTATCCCTGCTTTTCTCTAACCAGGAAACGGTTATCTGAAATGCAATGGAAGAAAAAGACAACACCCAGTGGTCCATCCAGGTCGAGTCAATCATTTACCCACTGCATCGCATAGGGATAAGAGAGATGTGACGGGTGCATGTGACTACACACATCTGATTCAGCTGATATCTGATATCAACTACGGTACATAAACGTTCATTGCTTCCATAAATACTGCTGTTTTGTTCTCAAGATGACGGTAGAGTTGTTAATCCAGTGGAGGAAGTCCTATCCCACCGTGCAGATTTAAGAAACGAAGACGCTACATAAGCCGCTAATGTGAGTCTTTAGATCCCCGCGATTATGGATTTTGCCTGGTTAGCATTCCACGGTTTTCAATTAGTAACAGATCATTGAAGACACATTAAACCCACCAGTGCCACTTTGCTCCTATGGAAGTTACAGTTTAGCTATAGAGTAAAACAAGCAAGCTTTATGATTGACTCTGATCTGTGTTTTGACCGTTACACTTCAGGTGTCTATTAATTTTTTCATTAAGAGAGTTAATTATTCAACATTTAGCGCACCATTTAATGTGTTTATCTCAGGACATTTTTAGGTTTTCATCCCTGAGAAGCGTTCCTGCAAGGTGAACGGAGGATGGTGTATTGGTTTGATTCTCGGATAAACTGATAAAGCATTGAATTGTAAGTACATTCACAAGTATAACTGTGAAGTATTTAAAATGAAGGTCTTTATTGGCATCTATGGTCACACGAACCTTTCTTTTCCCCAAAAGGTTCTTTGGGTTCTTTAATGGTTTTCACTGAAAGGCTCTTTGAGGAACCAAAATGTTACTTCCATGGCAACGCTGCGAAAATCCAGTTACACACACTTTTACACTTTTGTTTTTGTAATTATTGTACTGCATTACACTATAAATGACTGTATGATGTGATCACAGTGTGAAAGCAAATGCATATTGTGCAAAATTGTTTTTGTACCATATATTATAGCCAATTAGCTTGGGAAAACCCAGACAACTTCCGGCAAATTTAGATTTGCTCTGAAAGTTAGTCCCATTTCCAACCAATCAGAAACGTTGGGGCGGGCTTTACACGATGACGACAGCGGTGAGATTTTGAAGCAGCGCTGAATTTACATTAATAATCCACACAAAATTACATTAATAATCCAGAGCATTAAATAATTCACTGAGACAACACATCGTTGTTAAAGTTGATGAATGACTAGCTTGTTTGAACTTGAGGGCACTGCAGACCGTCTTCGTCCTCTCTTATTAAACCACAATAGATGAAGAGAGCGCTCTTGAGGTGAAGAGTGACAGAGCAAATGATTAACAGACCACAACAGTGAAAAAGAGGTGGGGTTGGATGAAGACCACGATCCGCCCCTCGGGACTCGAGGGACACATGAGCGTCTCTCAGCCCAGAGGAAATTAGCACTGCTTGAAATGCGCACTGCCCTCTCATTAACACCTCGTATAAAACACCGGCCCGCTCCCCCCCCAAGGGAGCCACTTCTGCCGATGGTGTGGTAGATAGCCATGAGAGACCCCAGCGGAGACTCTTTCCACTGGCCCGTCCTGCCTCTGAGAACCAGACCTTTGGAAGGTTCACTGGGACGTCCTTGTCCCAGAAGGAGGGGCGTCTTAATTGAATACTCTCTCCCCTTGTCTAGTTATCTCCGGGTAATGGTGGTCTTTATCAGTCGGCGAGCATGTCCTTTTGTTGTGATGGGGATCCATCCAGGTTGAAGTCCCTGTTTTGGGGCCACTGGTGGGAAAAAGGCGGATAGCGACTACACCGCAGTTAATTAAAAAGGGAAAAGATGGCGTCAAAAATCCCTGATTGAATCCGTGCAACCAGCCCACCATTTTAAGAGTGAGCGCATTGGCATTTGAGATGAATGAAGGGACTTAATAGAATTAGAGTGTTTTGATGGTGTGTTTAATACACAGTACACACATGCAGGCCATCATGTGGCTTTAGTATTCATGGGAAGCGGACACCATTGAAGATCTGACTAATCTTCAGTGGACAAATAGAGCGGCAGAACTTGATATTGAGCCCACAGTTTAATCGTTTATGAGATTTAGAGATAAATGAAATGTGCGTTACGTCTAATAATTTTGAATTGTAATGTAACTCTTATAAAATGACAATTTTGTCATAATTTAATCAACTTTGACTATTTATTCTGTGAAGCAGATGTTATTTTCCAGATTGTATTGGCTGCTCTTATATAAACACAATCAAATGGAATATTATGGATAATATTTATTTAATGCGACCGTTTTGTTAACTCAAAGTAAATATTCATGAAATAAAAGTTAATTTATATATGATTATAAATACTATAATAATATTGTAAATACATTTTATTTAAAAATATCTTATTATATAATATTATACATTTTAATATCAACATTGATTGTGGTTTTTCGTGAAAATCTTTAAATTAAATTAAATTTCATGATGGTTTTTGGTTCACAATCACTTAAAGAATTTAATGAATAAATTACAAAATTTTTTGGTTTTTATCAAATATTCAAAATATATATTTTTTTTTAATTCTTTATTTATTTGTTAAGCACCATAAATGAGTATATGGAAGTGTATTGAGTTAATTATCTCAGAATTATGAGATATAATCAATAATCAAGTCATTAATTCAGAAAAACAGAGCAAAAACTTTTTCCCATGAAAAATGATCTCGTAACTCTGAGATAATTCATTCGTTAATTCAGAAAAACAGTAGATTTTGTTTCCTCGAGTGAATGCAATACGCTTCCCTGTGAGTGAATGATTTTATACATTTTATTTATGGTGATTTTTGGAGCTCAATGTATACATATATATATTTAGACCAACATTTTGGAACAAAATGAGTCAATGAGGACTACATTTTCTTGTTAGTCAAGCTATTCATGTTAAATACGCGGCAAAAGTCATGAAATACTATCTTCCATCCTCATATTGTGATGGCACACTACCTCCTCATGATATGACACTCATTTAATGGCATAAAAGCTCCAAATGTCTCTCATGTCCTTTAGCTTATGGGACGGAAAGCGCTTGACAAGGTCGAGCACGTATGTGGGTGTGGGTGTGGATCAGTGATCGGTCTGGGAACTGCCCTTGGATCAGTTTTTCACAGTCCCTGCAGGCCCCATGGGGCTAGTAAACCCACCAATGACTTTTTCATTGGCTTTGATTCTTATCAGCCTTTCAGACTCATATTCTCAGGGTTTAGACACCTTGCTATGACCCTCAAAATCTTAAAACAAGATAGGCCTTTTCTGTGTTTCTGACGTATTCAGCCCCTACAGTATATGTCTTAGACGGAATCTAAATCTTGTTGAAGGTTTCACGTTATCACATCCCGCCGTATTCGTATTCGTTTTTCATGTCGGGGATTTAACATTTTGTTCCTTTCCTAAAAGTACATTGTATTTTTTCTTTAAGCCATGACTCACATGAGTGACTTGACAGTATTTTCATACATCCAAGTCCCTTCAAAGCAAGATTTTTTTTTTCTTTCTTTTTAATCCCTGTGTTTTTGACACTCCGTAAAACGCTCCACTGGACATTTCTTTCCTTCTCTACCTTTACAGTTGTCATGACAACAGAAACGGCTGTTACATTTCAGACGTTTACAATGATCTGAATTGTCTATTACAACAACAGCACACATTTTCAGGTTTGTGTTTTTTATTTTTGTGGCTTTTTATATAAAATTTGTGAGATATAACATTGCATATATTCATAGATAGATTTGCACCTTACAACAAAGGTCTTTCTACTAAATATCACATTAAAATAACCTTTTTTTTTTGTTTGTTTGCTCATTTAATACCCCAAAAAAAAGACTTAAAGGTACCAAGACTGGTTACTCAATCCTCTGCTAAAAAGCAGATCAAGTTCATACAAGTCAAATAAAGTGACAGAACGTTACTCGATGAATGCGTCATTGCGAGATGGTCGGGTCGGAGGGGTGTTTTGGCCAAAGAAACGAGTGAATGAAGATGTGAATTAATGGTGTACCATGATCACAATGCAAAAGAAGAAGGGTCATCATTACAGAAACACAACATTATCCCGGTTTATCTACACATTCTTGTACCTCCTCCACCATTGTGTTTCGAAACATTCCCATTTACAAAATGGTGATACTTTTTTCCCCAAATAGCATTGTTGCTATTGCCAATGATGCTAATAATACTTTAAGGTCATATTCCATTTGAAATTCCCAGTATGTACACATTTGTCTCAAAGATGCCGGGTCATCATTTACTCACCCTCAATTCGCTCTAAACCTGTAGGATCTTCTGCGGAAACAGAAAAGAAGATATGTTTTATCCACACAATGAAAGTCAATGGGGTCCAAAAACAAAAAAAAATGACACCCCATTGACTTTCATTGTATGGTTCTTACACTCTTAGAAGAAAAGGTTCTATACACTCTTAAAAAAAGGGTTCCTCTGGGTTCTATATGGAACCCTGGGGTTCCATATTTGGCCAATAGAATATTAGAACCATTTCAATATTAGAACCATTTTGAGTTTCATATATGAAGCGGGGGATGGAACCATTTCTGGTTCTAAATAGAACCATTTCTTCTAAGAGTGTAGAATTTTCTTCTTTTGGGCTTCACATGAATGACATGAGGGTTTGTAAGTGATACCAGAATTGTCTCTCTTTTTTTTTTTTTTTGGTGAACTATTCCTTTTCTAGGACTTGACTTCTCCAAATGCTCATTTATGTTGTAAAAGTCCAGCTCCTTACCGACGCTGTACCTGATGAGGTGTGGGTACCATTCAATCTGTTTTCTTATCGTTTTCAGGTGGCGATCCTGTCTAAGCAACCAAGTGTGGACTAAAAATCTACCTGACGTTTTCCCCCGTACCAGCGTCTCGCCACGGAGGGCACCTTAGCATCGAAGCGTGAAGAGAAGAGCTGAACAGAAAGTCTTACGTAAGAATATGCTTGCACACGACATACGCTAGTTGAGGTCCACGAAGCACCTGGGGCTCCGGAAATCAGTCCGTCGAGCCCAACTCAGTCATCGCTGGGTGTTTCCGTCCAGCGGGAGGCTTGAGTGATGCAGTCCCTTCGCCGAAGACCTGGACTCCACCGACGAGTCCTGGTCCTCGGTGAAGCTCTCCGGGCTGACGTCCCCGTCCAGCAGGCTCCCGCAGCTGGAGTTCGGGCTCAGCATCTCCTGGAGGAGGTCGTCCCGAACCAGGGTCGCGTCTCGGTTGGCCCGGGCGGAGGCGTCGCCGCCCACCACGTCGTCCTGGTCGTTGAGGAGCTTGGCGAGGAAGTTGATGTACTTCATGGCCAGGCGGAGGATCTCGTTCTTGCTGAGTTTCTTGTCGGGAGGGTGCGTGGGGATGAGCTTGCGCAGCTCGGCGAAGGCACCGTTCACGTTCTGCTGCCGCCAGCGCTCGCGGCTGTTGGTGAAAATCCGTCGCACGACTTTGGGCTGCGAGCCTGTCCCTGTGAACGCAGAGAGAGTATAGTTAGGTTGAATTCCTTTGCAAACATTTGGAGTGTCAAATAACAAATCAGCAGCGTTGAGTGCTTTAACGGTGTGAACACACCTAAGGTGTTCGCTCACTTCTCACTGATAGATTAGCTCTTTATCTCCCCCTATTTAGCCAAGAATTAATTAACCTTTCTATTATCTGTGGCATTTTACATTCAATTATTCAGGGCCATTTCTCTTCCTAGACAGCTCTGTTGGAACAGGGCTATCAATGCTTCACTTTGCCTGATGCACCAGTGGCTTCATATAATTACACCTATTTGAATGGATTCCCAACCTCTTGAGTCAAGGAATAATTTAAAGCATTTTTAGCTATTGTCTTAAAGGGGCAGCGAAGGCAGCGTTATACCTTTTGATGCTCTTCTATATCGTCTAAAAGCAGATTGAGTCATGCACACCGCGTTTTCATCTCATTAGAATCCCACATCTCAGTCTCAGCACTCGCAGCCAAACACATCCACTCGTATTTGCATTTTTATAGGCAACTCGCAGCTATCTCTCGTGCGCATACACTGATTTTTTTTTTAGGGGGGTTGGTTCCCATTGGCAACTGTAACCATTTTTTTTTCTCTCTTACATGCTTGATTTCTGTCTTTGTTTCACAACAATATTTCGTTCCCTTTTTATTTTAAGAGGTAATGCCTTTTCATGCAATCCAGTGTGATGCAAAGATATTGGTGACGTTTATGGTAATTGTCATATTAACTAATTAATATTTATTCTTTCATTTGGATGAGCAACTAAAGTGGCATTCCTTGCCATTTTTTTTTTATTATCATATAAATATTATTATTATTATATTTTTATTTTTTTATTTAACAGTCAGACATACATACAAACCAACATAAAAAATGTTTTAGTAAAGAGCATGGATATTTGCATGATTTTTTTCCCAAAAAATGATTAATTAAAATGATATGACACAAAGTAACAGTATGAAGTAGCCTATATAATGACGATCTAAAGCTATTTCGTTTGTTTTACTTTATTATTTTCATTTTGCGTGCTCTTTTCTTTTATCAGATGATGTCATTTAAAATGGTCGAGAATGAGACTGAGATGATGCACTGTAAAAAAAATATTGTTGGTTAAATTTAAAAAAAAATTAAGTAACCTGATTGCTTTAAAATTTTAAACTCATTGAAATGGAAAAATTGAGTTAATACAATGAAGGAGATTAATTTAATCAGAAACTCAAAATATTATGTTATCTGAACCACATACATTATTTAAGTTGATTTGACAAAAGAAAAAAATGTTGTGATGAACATATTTTTTTTTTTACAGTGGGAAATAAGAAAAAAAGAGAAAAACACAGCCAGAGAGTGGCTTACCATACTTGGAAAGATCTAAAATGCTCCTACCATCGCTGATTTCAACCTCATACGGTACAGGTCTGCGTTTCACTCGACTGCTGGGATACATCCCATACTGTTCCACTTCTCCAGCAAAACCACTGAGGAGAAACAGGCACACGAATCAGTACGGTGGATTCAAGCTTTTTCAAATGATCCTTCAAATGTCATTAAACAGAGTTAAAGCACTCAAATATTTCAAGCTTGTAAAATATACACAAATTAAATAATGCAGTTTATTCATATTTATATACTTCAAATGTCATTAAACAGAATAGAAAGCACTCATATACTTCAATTGTACTGAAAAAAGCTTTAAAATATATAAAAAATACATTTCAATGCATTAAATAATGATCCTAAAATGCAGTTTATTCATATGTATATACTTCAAATGTCATTGAACAGAATAGAATAGAATGCAATCATATACTTCAATTGTACAGAAAAAAGCTTGAAAATATATAAAAATACATTTGAATGCATTAAATAATGGTCCTAAAATGCAGTTTGTTAATATAGTTCAAATGTCATTAAACAGAATATAATAGAAAGCACTTAAATACTTCAATTGGACCGAAAAAAGCTTGAAAATATATAAAAAATACATTTGAATGCATTAAATAATGGTCGTAAAATCCAGTTTGTTAATATAGTTCAAATGTCATTAAACAGAATAGAATATAAGCAATCAAATTGTACTGAAAAAGCTTGAAATATATAAAATAATATATAAAAATTATTTAAAATACATTTTATTGCTTTACATTTCTCTTTAACATACTCGATTGCTGATGGAGAAACGAAGTACTTCCATATTTCATAAATATAGAATAGAAACGGAAACGAATCATTATATAACACTGCATTATCAAATAAGGAGAAAACGAACTCTAGTGAACGAAATAGCTACAAAGAAAATGATCGCTCTATTTTGTTTTAAAAAGTTTTATTTATATAAAAAGGCCCTAATTATTTATTTTATTTTGTTTCGGGGTCATTCAATATATATATTTGAATAGGTTGAATAAATCATTGCATCAGAACTTTAGATTTCTCAAATGCCACGGATAATTTCATGCATCATAAAATAAACCATTTTAAACAGACTAGTGCAAGAACATGTTAAAAAAAGAGAAATTAAAGATCTTTGCAACAAAAAAAATGACCATGCACAAAAAAAAAAGTGTAGGCTATTCAAATGCATGCATCTTTAAGTGTGTGCATCGTACAAAAGTGCTGTTACCTGTTAATAGTGGCGAGCGGTTGCGTCATGTTGCTGTAGAGCATCGCTCGTGCCGGGAGAGGGAAAGCGGGCGGACTCAACTGCACCATTCGAGTGTCGCTCAGCGGGTCTCTGGGAGGCAGCGGCAGTGGGATCGGTGGTCTGCACAGCTCGGTGGTCTGCACCTTATGGCTGATGTCTGCCTTGAGCTCTCTGCCTTTTATATCCGCGCTCCCTCCTCTCCTGGACAGCTCGATCACCGCCACTTCCTTTTTTAGCTCGGTGGCGTGGTGAGCCGTTTCCTTGGCAACTCCATTAAGGACGCGGCGCTCCTCGGGGAGGTGATGCTCCCCTGTCTCTGCCTTCGTGCCTTCCTGTTTCCCGCATGCGTCCCCCTCCTCGGGCGGGGGGGAACCGCAGCCCTCCGTGCTCGGGCTCAGCGGAAATTGCTCGGATTTCAGTTTTTCCATCATCCTCAAGTCCAGCTCCAGAAAAACAAAATCCAAACGCTTATAATTAGTGGAATCCAACGGAAATTGTAATTCCAATCCCAACCAATCCAGCGCCTGTTTAGCTTCTCATCGGAGGTCACCTGTGAAAGCACACACCTTTATGAGCGCCAGCGTTATTACGCGCGTCCTCGCTGCGCGCGTGACTGGAACAGTACAGTAACGCAGCTCTATGACAGCACGTGTCACACAACTACTGTATCCAAAGCCCTGTGCCATCCAGCAGGTTTGCCTATTAAACGCTCAAATATATTTTAGGGTCCTCCCGTGACTTGACCTTGGCCTGCTTATATATCATCACTCTCCTCATGGTATCTGGAGATAAGCGTGTCACATCGGTGTCTTCGTTGGAAAAGAGCTTATCTTCCGCAAACATTGTTCGACATTTATTTAACAGAAAATAATCTGCATAATTATTACAGGACGTATTCAATAACACCTTTCCAGATTAGCATATTTTATCATATTAGCCTACATTTTAAATGACCAACTTTATTAGCCTATCATTGTTATTATTGTAGCATGATTTCATATGTATAAATTTTAGCGTATTTATTGTGGTGGTGGTGATAGTACTGTCAATAATTTATTTGCGTCTTTTTTACCTAAAACAAAGATTTTTACGTGAGTAATTGCGTCCAATTTTGAACCTTTTATTATTATTGCATAATATTTAAATAGCCTATATATATTTGTGCATGTTAATGGTATTTTGTAATGTTTTCTGTCTCCAGTGGCATTTATGACTCTTAATAATGTATTGCTTATTTTGTGTGTAAACACAACAAGATGGCTAAATATTAATACGTCATACCCAATTTACACACATTTCTACATTTAGCTCTTTCTGTTTTCTCCGTCAATATATAGTTTATTTAATAATGTATTTTATCGTATTTATGTAGGCTATTCAAATTAATTGTTATTATTGTATCCAGCATTAATAACCAACCAGATTTGACGAAAAAAAAAAACGTTAGGCTACGTGTAGCTATACGATGTCAAATAGACTAATAATTCGGCAACAAACTTAAAAAAAACAAACAACAAATAATTCATATTTACCATTTAGAAACTAAATCGACCAAAATCTCAGCTTTAGTTTAATAAATGGGAAATCGATGAGATTAGTTCATTTATTGGTGGAGTTATGGTGGCTATTATTTTTAAGCACTAAACGGAAAAGCGGAAAATAGCAGCCGTGAGGAAAATCGAATCGAAATGAATCGAATTTCTTAAGTTTAGATGAAAAGATCACGTCCTAAACGCCCTTTAATTATAAAATAAATGCCAAATCGATTCATGTATTCTGCAGGCTCAAGGGCCTATTTGCTCCAAGACCGAATACAGCCAAATATAAATGATATAAATCATACCTGAGCTTATATTAATCATCTGGCGTCGATAGAAAGCCTAATTACGACCTGCATTGGTATCAAATGAGCCCAGAAACACCAATATTCGCCTCTTACCGTCGTCGGGCGGTGGATGTTAGTGTGTGCATGGAGCCATTTTGTGGAGGGTCATCCATGTCTGAGGTTTTAGATGCACTGAAGTGCTGTGTGGAACTGGAAGTGAGGTCTATATAATTCCACATCACGTCCAGCGCGCGCTTCTCAGTATGGGGAGCGGAACACGGGCGCAATGTGGCCAGGCGAGATAAGAGCGCAGTGGCGGCCACTGCGCGCTCGATAAGCCCCTAAACCCATTATTTATGAAATGATTCATTATTATTTAGCTTTTTATCGAGGGCAAATGCGAAGAGAAAAATATAGACTTATATTGTGAATGGATATATGCATAAAAAAACTCAGCAGATTGAGGAGGGGGGAAAAACGAATGCGTAATATTGTTGAACTGCTTCAGGGGCTCAATCAGAAATTAATTATGCGGCCAAAAGTAACACATTTTCAGTGATATCGGCTGGGGATGTAGGCTTGAAAAGTACCATTAGCGGCTGTTTGTTTTTACATATTTCGGCGTTTTCGGGTGTTCAGAATCAACTGGAAATCGTGTAGCCTATATGACCCTCCCTCACTGAGTAAAACATGTTTATGGAGGTAGACACGAAAATGTTGTGAATACTGCACAGACATAATTGCTGTTTTTAATTATTATTTCAGGTGATGTTCGATTAATTCTTCAAAAATTGTCTCATTTAGCCTGTGTTTAAGTACACGTTTCTTTATAAAACATGCAGTACAAATAAATGTATTTATTAAGGATGCACAATATCATTATGGGACAGTCAGCATTATATTAATATGTGCTTTGGTCGATATTGTAAGCAGATTCTGATATTTGAATTTTAGACTCTTGAAATAATTTTATTTTATTACAGTGTAGGTTTCATGTTTTAAACTTTTTTCTGAATTTTACACTGGAGCTTGTGTATTTATATAATCGCATATATTTAGCCTACACTCCTGGGTAGAAAAAAAATGGGCCACGCCTAAAATGGTTCAACACTAAGCTTTTAATTGCCTTGACCACAAATTATTGGTACGGAAATTAGCTAAATTTATGTATGCACTTCTTAAAAAGCCATTGCTGTCTCAGACAAACATCAAAGATAGAATTAGCAATAGTTTTTGGCAGAATATGGGAAGTTGTGAATATGGGAAGTTGCATGGTGATGCTCCAGAGTCGTGTCTTCGAAAATCTGCTGAGAAATATAATAATATATGGGGAGCCTTTTTAGCTGCTGGTAATGGTGAGTTACATCACTGTGAAAAGTAATTTAACGCTATTGGATTATTACAGAATAGCTTGCTTTCCACAAAGTTGTTATCTGAGGAATGATCTGATGTTATTGTTCAACAAGACAATGCTCCTGTCCAAATTGCAAAGACAACCAATAAGTGTCTTGAGAACAAATCCATCAGGCCCATGTTTTGGCCTGGTCAGAGTCTTGAATCCTATATTTTGGTCTTATAAACTCAAACAAACTGGGAGACAACAACATTGAGTGAAGTCATTAACCTTGAGTGGAGCAACACTGACTCTTCTCCCAGTAAAAAGCTGTCTGCAAGTTGGGGTAAGTATATATTTTACTTGTACAGTATTTGTGCAATTCATACTGATTTCCTGACCATTGATAAAAAAAAATATTATAATAAAAAAATATATATTTTTAAAAATATTATATTAAAAAAATAAAATATTTTGCCATTTTTGGCTTTGCCCTTTTTTATATTATTATTTTTTTTATTAATTATATTTAAGCTAATATAATATTGATAAGCCATGGGCCAAAATGTCAAATTGATGCATCCAAATGAAATTAATATAACAATAGACTATGATATTCAGAGAGAAAATATACACGTTATCATTTTGTCAATCAAATGTTTTTCTCTAGCTATGTGCAAATGTTTGAGTATACTGAAGATAATCGTCATCATCGTTGTCAACACATTTATTAACACACTATTATCCACTATTAACACAGATCAACTGTCAACATTGGATAGGGCTGAGAGAGGAGAAGGCAGGTGATAATAGGCTATCTTCATGAATGAATGTATGAAATACACGCGTGGAAATCAGTTCCATCATCTGAGAGCCTTTGATCTCGGGCCTTTGTTAGTTCATTGCAACGGATTTTGAGTGATTTGGGAAGGATGCCCTGTGAGACTCGCCAGAATTTGGTGTAAACCTCAAAGGACCACCTTGCGGAGAGCGATAAGACGGTATCAGTGAGCCAGCGACCCCGGGTTCATCCATCAGACCGGGATGAGAGCCACTGGGTGTAGCTAGTGCTGTTCGGAAGACAGCACCATGACGAGCTTTCCCACACATTTCCTCAAGCCAATATAAATCTGCTCTATTTACTCGCATTATTTCCAGGTGATAATAATATAAACACCCAGCCCGACAACATTAAATTGACCTTTTCAAGATGCAGAGCACTACAACCATCTCATGATGGGCTCATAATGACCCTTCACACTTGAGGTAACGTTAGCCTAAGTTCATATTGAGCTCTTCAAACTTGTAAACAACTAGACATTTTCGGCTCCCTGAAATATGCTATTTATCTGAATTTTTTACTCATTTCCCCTTAAACAGGAAAGTGGTTGTTCTGTTCCACGCGTGCTGTTGTTTCTAGACTGGTGATCCGATGATGATCTTCATTAGGCTACCTGTCACGATTCTCAGTGCTCAGGGACGAACTCGTGAACGCGCTGATGTCACGACCAGCTTCCTGCAAGCCTCCCTGGTGAACGGGTGAGTTATGGGTGTTTGACTGCAGCACTGCGCGAATCACGATGTTAAATTATTAATCACCACCACATCCCAAAAGAAGTCGAGACAAAATGTTTTGGACTTTACAGTTTTTATTTCAATTTACACAAATGCCTACTTAAAGTTACAAATTATTTTTACGTAGTCCTAATTAAAAAAAAAATCAATTACAGTTTGAGTTAGAATGTGCTAAACTTGCCATAGGCTAACGTTAGTCGCCGCCTGAGGTAAACATAGCAACTGTTTGGTGCGAGCGATAGTGTTAATAAGGCTACCTGCACACAAACAAATATCATAGTCTAAAACGACTGGCTGATGATCAGTGAAATGTCCAAGGGACACAAATATTTTCCTCAGACAAATATCCAACCGATTATTAACCGCCATTAATATTTGCAGCAGATGAGATTATTTCAGAACAGAACCGATTTGGTTTTGATTCACTATAAAGAATCGGCTCTTAAGAATCATTCGTTCTGGAATCGTAGCACTAGTCGTCCTATGCTGTGTGTTGACTCACTGAAAATAACCTGCTCCTAAGAATCATTTAAAGGAATCTATCGCAGTTAAATGTAGTAGGCTAAATCTAGATTACATTCGTACTAACTAATGTTGAACATACTCTTATATTAGCGGTTCCGAAGTAATTATTCAAAATAAGTAAGTTAACGTTAGCCTACCTAATCAAGAGAGTAGGCCTATGCGATTTCTTACGTAGCCTTTATTCAATATTAATAAC